TAGATCTGCAGATGGAAATAGCAGAGAGTAGTTTCAAGAACACTCTGTAAACTTCCCAGTAGGTGTGATATGAGTGTGGATTTGTGGATTTGTGATAATATCCATATTTTTGTCTTTTTTTTTTTTTTTTTCCCCTTAGAAAATCAATGGATTTCTCTTCTGTTGACTCTTGGAAGTCACACCTTGGGTCATGTCCAGGGATTAGTAATCTTGTTTGTAGTAACAAGACTGTCAGTAGAGTACTCCTTTGGATAAATCAAAGTTTTCTCAATATTGTCCTGTTTTTACTCACACTGTTGATGGTTGGGGAACGGAAAGGAAAGGAGAAAGGAGAGGAGAGGAAAGGAAAGGATGGGATGTTGAAGCTACGGGCAACTTCAGTTTGTTTTACATGCTGAAGGAAAGGAAATCACCTTTCACTTAATAAAGGCCATAGTTGCTTGAAGCTTTCTGAAGAAATTGTGTTGGGAGTTTTGCGGGCAGGGAGATAGCAATATGTGTATTTGCCAGTGTTAGGTTATTTTTAATTTATACTTCACAATATTGCATTCCAAGGGAGGGAGTATTTACTCCCTGCTGTCTGTGGTAGGGAATTTTGTTCTCAGTTTTTCTAAAAGACCATAAAAATACAAAAGCCTAATGAAATGATAAGAATCTCCCCTGTTTTCAAACAGTGATATGTATTTCCAGGAACACACTGCAATGTGTCTTGCAGAAAGATAGGTAAGGTTGACTAAAATCTCATTTAGTTGTCTTGGTGCTATGTATGAGACACCTGCAAGAAACTGACAGCAAGGACTGTAAATCTTAGTTTTGCTGTACTTCTTCTCCTTCATTGGGGAGAATCTTTAAAAATAGCATTGCAATAAACATTGGCTAGCTTGAGTATGAAGTTATAAGGGAAATTGTGGCATAGTTAAAAGGTAGTTGCAAGTTAGAGTTCCTAAAGAAGTTTTTCTTCTGAACTGTTCTTTGTTTTGATCTGATAGCCTTATTTGTTTCTTATTATAGGTCAACCTTTAGAGGAGTGCAGAGTTTTAGGTGATCAAGGTGGGTTTATCAGGAATAAACTGGGACTTGTTTGCAATTTTTTTTGTTGTTGCCCTTTAATGAAATCAACATTTTTAAAAAGTGGGGAAAAAACCTTACAAGCTTATGATCATATTTAATTAAAAGTCTTTTTTGTTCATAAAGAACAATAAAGTTGCCAAATTCTACCCATGTGCCCCGTATTGTTAGAAAAAATAATTTAAAAAAAGGAATTAAGATATCAGGATACCCACTACCCCAGTTTGTAAATCACAAAAACCATTTGCATAAAACCACATTTAGCCCAGCACAATTACAATGTGCATTACAGTTATTTTACAAGGAAATCTTATGCTATACAAGAGAACTTCACATCTTCACAGATGCTACAAAAGGCCTCACATTGGTAGCAGTTTCCATCACAGGTTTCAGTTTCTTCTCAAAGGTGTTTTTTTTACTATTGAATCCTTAAGTTTCTCCCTGTTTCTCGAGTCACTTGGCCCTCAGTGTCAGGAAGAATTTTTATCATGGTAGACCTGCATAGTCTTAGATATTCTTACCATAATGCTCATGTTAAACAGAATTTATGCAATGCAGTGCTCTTATTCCAAAGGTGAATTCCTGCTTTTGCTCAATAAAGCAGAGAGCAAAGTTCTCCTTCCTCTGTGTGTGGCACTGTGTGATGTGCACAGTGCGTATTGTGGTGACAAAAAAGATACTCCCAGATGAATAATAAAAGGAAAATATTATAAGAAGATGTGACATTAATTCCACAGTTTTAAAAGTGGTGTTTATGTGTATTTTGTTTTTTCCCCTACAGCATAAGGTGAAGGCAGAAACGACAAATACAAAAGCTGACAGGGAGACTTACTAATTCCTCTGTTTAAAACATAAAAAACCAGACAGTGAATATAACATGTGTGAAAGGCCACGAGGACCTTTTGTAAAGAAGGTTTTCTTTGTAAGACAGAGCAACAATAAGCTAGTTCTCTAGTATAAGCACAGAAAATTAATACTGGTTTTCTGGCTGGGTTTGGCACCTCTGACTGGTTCAGACTTTGCAGGAGTGATTTGGGCTGGGATGCACCATCCTAGTGCTGAAATAATTCCGAACATTCTCTTCTCTCTGCATTGCTCCCCTTCCCCCTTGTGCTGAGAGAGATGGTATAACAGCTCTGGATCTGTTCAGAAAATCGGTGTATGAGTATTTTGAAAGTGCCTGCTTGTGGTGTGTGCCCTGTCCATGTGTAGCTGTGACCAGGGTTCAGGGAGTACAGCTCTTCTAATAAAACTCCTGCTGACATTCTGTAACGTGGCAGTAGTCATCAGCCCCAAGAATATCCCATTCCACCAAATTAGCAGATGTGTGGGACATCCAGCCCAGCTTCCTCAGTGTTTGAATTCTAGAAATAGTCTGATGTAGTAATTGTGGATAAGTAATCCAAACTCGCCACAGGAAATATTTCTACCCTTTGCCTTCCTATCTAGTAGTAAACTGAGCATCCGTTTCTGATAAATCACTCTGATTACCTATGGAGAATTTTATTGATGATCAGTCAGGGGAAATAGAGGTAAAATACATTATTTATCCATCTTGTTAAGCATTATTACTTTTTCTCCCTTAATCCTGCACATTTCTCCACAGTTCTGCCCATAAGTCACAGGTGAATGGAAGGCTGGTGACAGATCTTGTGTGAAGGGCTGTGGCAAAACTGCACCGTGCTGGGGCCACCACTGGAATGTAATGAAAGATTGCAAAGTCAATATTTGCTATTCATTGGATCATTGCTGGGAGAATGGTCCTGAGGCTGGGTGTTTGCAGCCATAGGATGTGCTTTTATTTTAATGATTTCCTGCAAACATAATGAGAAGGTCATGCCAGGAAACTAATTAATGGTAGTACACTGGGCAGTGCATCCTGCCCAAATGAGGCTGGGTGCTGGATGCAGTGGCAGATGCTTGGTAGGAACAGTTTCTGGGCCCTGTGGCTCTCAGACTCAATGCCCTGGGTCTTCAGGAAGCTGCAGGAATGTTGCTGTGCACCAAATACCCCGTTCCCAGAAGCTGGTAAAAGAACACAACCTCTCACTTAACAACCAAGAATAAATCTCTTACTATTTCCATCTTTGTAGCAAGGGCATATTCTGGCTGCCTCCATCCTTTCTTGAGCTCTGCACTGGAACAGTTGTGGTGTGACAATCAGTCTGAATTCTCCTGTTTATCAGACGTGTCTGGACAGGGCTTTTTGGATTTTGGTTATTTTATTATTATTATTATTATTAATATTGTTATTATTATTACTGCTACTAATACATGGTTGATTTATTAATTAATATTTCCATGAGGAATGGCAAAAATTGAAACTTTATCTGAAACAAAGAAGACTTTCATCTGAATGCAGACTAATGTATTTTTATATATATATAAAAAAAAATAAATATATATATATATATATAAATTAGGGGTTTCTGCTCTGTCATGATAGAGCCCATGACTGTCTCAGGCATCTTGACAGACACACATATATTTTTTATACCCAAACTAGCTAGTTTCCTGACCAGTTGAGCAGGAGGATTATACATTCTACTCTATGCAGACACGTTGAAAATGTTTAAAGTTATCATGGCAAAAGGCAATTTCAGAGATGCAGTGTGCTGTAGGCAGCAGTGTGTTACAGAACTGTTGTAGGCCTGTTGTTTGTCCATAACAAAACCCACACATCTTTAAAAACAGAGGCCAATGATAAGATGGGCAGTTGTTCTTACAGACCAGCAGCACTGCTGGGTGTTTATAATACATAAAACTACTTTCTGTTGCTCTCTATTTTATTGTGTGTAAGTGCTCACAGTATCTCCATTTATGAATGCATGTTCTAGTGACCTATACTGGGGAGGGGAAAAAAACCCCAACCTTAAGGAGTAGATTCTTGAAAAGACCCTAATTCCTTTTTATTTGTGTAGCCTGGGTGAACAGCTCTTACAGCTGAATAATTCCTACCCTGAGGAGCATTCTTGAATTACTTTGCATTAGTCTAGGAAAGTGTGGCTGTTCTCTTCCTGGCTTTTTTGCCCCAGGAGAAGACTGGGAGAACAATGGTTGTCAGTCTCCAAGAGGAGAGCCTGGGCTCACAGTTGCTGCAATTGAGGCTTTCCCATTGTGCTGCTGTTATCAACAGAACATAAAAATAAAATCAGATCATTTGACCATATGATTAACACATTCCTGTTGAACTCCAGGTGACCCTAATCTTCTGGCTCTTTACAGAACTCCTGTGTTTCTTAGGATAAAATTTCTTCCTTAACATTGAGTTCTCCTTTTGATGCTGAAATACCCTCTGAATGGTTTGCTTATAGGGCTTTAATGGGATGCATTGGGGCAGACAAGAAAAGATGGGTTTGAATAGATGCATTGGATAACCAAATTTGTAACTTCCAGATGAAGTTTAACCACGTAGTTGTTAATTTCCTATTGCTTGGTGAAGTGCTTCTTGTGTTTTGTTTTGCCCTATCAGTATATTGCAAGATTGCAAAAGAAATATTTGCAATTACGTGAACAAGTAGGAATTCTTTGATTTGCTCAAAATCATGAGTCTGCACCGACCAAGCTTTACAACTTCCTTGTGAGATTCAGAGAGTTGTTGGTGGATTTAGACTACATTTTTTAAGTTAGTAAGACTTCCCCCTGTAAAGGGGAACTCATGGTTTGATGGTGGAGAGTTACAGTGAAGAGTTTTGAAAATTAAGAGATTTGAACTCACGTTCAGTTTTCAGCCTTGTGTTTTAAAATGTTGGCTTTTCTTGAGAAGAATCAATTTCATAAATCACATAAATGAAGTCTGATCTGCCTGCTGCAATCCATAAGGACCAAGGAGGAATAACTATTTCCATTTCATAACTTCTTTCTTGCTGCTGCGCGGCCGACTCGCAGCACCTCAATGGCGTAACCACAAAAACTCCTCTGAAATTTTTCAGCGTGCGACAGCGAGCACTGGGGACCCCACTGCAGCAGCCGCTGCCAGTGCAAGAACGGGGCTCTGTGCAACCCCATCACCGGGGCCTGCCACTGCTCCGCGGGCTTCAAGGGCTGGCGCTGCGAGGAGCGCTGCGACCCCGGCTCCTACGGCAACGACTGCCACCAGAAGTGCCAGTGCCAGAACAAAGCCACCTGCGACCACGTCACCGGCGAGTGCAGGTGTCCCCCCGGATACACCGGTGCCTTGTAAGCAGTGGCTGTGTTGCTTTTTGGGGGTGGCCGGTTTTTGAAGAGTTTAGATGGACTTCCATTCTGAGCTAGCAGGTGTGGGCGAATCCGTGTTGCAGGGTGTATTTGGATGTGTGGCCAAGAGAAAAAAAGCCTTGACCCAGAGGGGTAAAAACGCACAAGAAGGAGCAGCAGAGGGTTCTTCGTGGCCGTCAGGTTTGGGAAATGGCATTGAAACATGGAGTTGTTTGGCCTTGGTCATTCCAGAGCTGTGTCAGCAGCAGTGAGTGAGTGCCAAACTGCCTGTAAGGAGATGTCTTGGGGAGGAGTAATTCCTAGAATGCCAGGTCTGTTTCCTTAGATCTGTTGTGTGGATGCTGCACAACGCTCGGGGCGCATCTCTCTGTGTCACACTGCTCTGTGCTCCACACTTTTGGCTGGAAGAGCTGATGATGAGAGCACTGGAAACAAAGCTGGGGCCTATGGTAACGGGTGTCTGTGCTGTCCCCACCCTGTGCACAGCTGTGAGGACCTGTGTCCCCCCGGGAAGCATGGCCCACAGTGCGAGGAGAGGTGCCCGTGCCAGAATGGAGGCGTCTGCCACCACATCACCGGGGAGTGCTCCTGCCCGCCGGGATGGATGGTAAAAAAATACTGAAAACCCCACAACCCCCCCAAACTTCCATATTTTTACATCTCGAAAAGAAAAAAAAAACACTAGGGTAGCAAATGAGGAAAATGAGGATAGCAAATGTGGTCTGCTTGTAGCCAGGAGTAATGAGAAACATATTTTAGCATAAGAGACTGAAATAAAATGTTTGCGAAACCATCTGTTGCTGAAAATGCTCCAGTTCTGCGCTGCCTTTTTAACTGTATCTGATTCTGGGAAGCAAAAGACATGAGTTGTGCTGTGACAAGGCAATATCCTTTAGGTCTTGCCTGGGAGTCACTGATTTCTGCATGTAGGTTGATATTATAAGGAGATGACACCATTGTGTTTATTAATAGTGGGGTATGTACCTGTTTTTGTATGTCTAGTATGCACGGAAAAAAGTTCAAAACGTTTGCCTAGTGTGTTCACTGTTGGAGAGGAGATGGGACATCAGATCTTTGACATTATCTTTAGGCTTCCTTCCATTTTATCAGAGAATAGTGAATTAAGGCCTGACCTTGGAGCCGCAAATTACCTTCCCTGCTATCAGGCTTCCTGCTCTGAGTTGGCAAATAATGCAGTTGGAAGGTGATAAAGGTCCAAATAAATGCTTTAAATACATTTGCTGATAATATGATCATGAGCATTTAATAATATTTTCCATTTAAATGTTTCTTTTGTGTGAAAATTCACATTTACTCATCATTTAATTACCTCATGATTATATTATCCTGAGAATAACCTGTGGCACAGGCCAGTTTTTCACCAACTGGAGAGCATGCTATAAAATACAATCTCTGGTTGTGAGGTTGTGTAGCACACCTGACTACCTAGCTTGGAATATGGCCATTTTTACTTTTTGTTGCATTTCATGCTAGAAGAGCAAAATTGTTGGTCATGGAATACAGATGTTTGCTTAAATTCTTGACTCCCTTTGTCTGCCTAAACATAGCTACTAAAAATGAGATAGAGCACATGAAGCAGTGAGGAAAACATTTTAAACTAGTATGTATGTTAACTAATACATGACTGTTTAGACCTTTGACTAGTTTTCCCTTCCAAGTAATTATTTAAGTATAAGTTTTCATTTTAGAACTTTTAGTTTTGTATTTTGTCAGTGTAACCTTCTTTTTTTTTGCTTTTCCTGTAACGAAGGTTTAAGGTAGCCAGGTGCAAATTCTGCAGTGTCTTAGATGAAATACCTGGATATCTTTTGTCTGATTAAATACCTGTAAATACCTTTTTCTTGAAATGGCTTCTTAAAAGTCTTAGGTTCTGATGTTTCCCTCACCACCCAGGTGCAATTAACTCCAAGGATGTAAAAGGCAGTGCAGAAATTCAAAACCCATTGAAAGGAGTAATCATGCTACTTAAGCTTTTAGGATGTGCTGCTTTAAGTGAAATTGCAAACTGCTTTTTCATTCATCAAAAAAAAAAAAACCAAAAAACCAAAACAACCCAAAAACCCAACTTACCATAAAGTAGACTAATTGGGGCATTAGAGCAGCTGCTGATTCTTACACCTCTATTCACTGGAGGGCATTCCTGGGTATATTGATATATATAGTACTCCTGGTAAATAAACTGGGAAGAGCTTGAATAAATTGGGAAGAGCTTGACATCAGTTAGTCTTATATGTGTAAGTGTTTTCATAGGTGCTTAGAGAGAGTGTTTTTCATGAGTGTTTTACCTCCAACACGCAAATCCTAGAAGATTATTCCTTCAGTGCTGGAACATGCCCTACGTTTAAAGCTGGAGAAGGGTTTGGCATTTCCAAGATCAGCACTGGGAGAGTAACACGAGATGTCCTTGATCTTCCCTCATTCCTTCCTTGTCCATTCAAGCTGCAGTCCCAACTCTAAGACTTCTCTTCTGCACTCCCAGGGCATGGTCTGTGGTCAGCCTTGTCCTGAGGGTCGTTATGGGAAGAACTGCTCCCAGGAGTGCCAGTGCCACAATGGAGGCACCTGCGACTCGGCGACGGGCCACTGCCACTGCAGCCCGGGCTACACAGGGGAACGGTAAGGAAAACCCATTCCTGCTAGGCTGCTGGGCCTGGAGGGCTCTGCTACAGCAGAGGAACTTCAGAAGCTGGTAGAAGGAGCAGTGGAAGTATCTGAGATATGATCAAAAGTGCTGATTTTGATGGTGAAATGTTGGCGTGTCACTCAGCTGATGGCGGGTGGCAAGCTGAAAGTCCATGTGCAAGAACTCTTGTTGTGAAGGAACTGCTGGGTTTCACAGTTTCCCTGCTGTGCTCTGGCACTTCTTGTGAGTCTTCCTCCCTTCGAGTGTCATGCAGAATGGTGCAGCCTGGGCTGAGGAGGGAGGCTCATGGGTTTGTGCAGATGTCTGGCACTCACTGCAGCAAGGGAGGCTCATTCAACCTCTCTTCAAAGTCTGCAGGCTGGGGAGCTGTCTCCTAAAAATGCTCTGCTCAAATGGAATGCAACATTTCATTTTCTGATGGCTGTTAGTCAACTTCGGCAGATGGGGAAGATAGTAGAGTGAAACATCACTTCTGAAGGCAGTGGAAAGCGATGAAAGAACATTTTCCTGCATGCTTTAACCAGCACACAACTCATTTTCAGGAGTCAGCAGCAGCCTGGTCACTGGGATCAGTCCAGGGGATCCCTGCCAGCAGCTGTGGGTATTGTAACCATGTGCACTGCCCACACCAGTGTTCACAGGACGTGGGAAGTGTTCTGCCAGACACAATGTGGAAAAAGTCCTCAAAAAGAAGAGAAATAATTAGCCCAGCACCATTTGCATGCCAAAGTTATATTTGTGTCTGAAGAAACAGTGCAGAAGGTGGTAGATGCATTTAGGCAGACTTGGAGAGGGGCTCCAGGGAAAATCAAAGGGGTAACCACACAAGTGTCTACACACTGCCCTGCATTGGTGTTTTTAAAAGTAATTAAATTTTTCATTTTGTAATAATTTAAATCTGACTTTCAACTGAAATGCCTTACAGTTTGCAGCATTTTGATCACTTTGGCAGGTCTGAGCCTCCTTCTTTTCTTGTAAAAGAGGCTGTATTTTCAATTCTTTAATTTGTCGAGATGGTTCCAAGGGCAGGAAGGAGTCAGTGGCAAGGTTGTAGACGTGGTCCATGTTTCATGTCAGAACTGTGGGTGCACCATCTGAGGTAGCTCATGCACACCACCTCCAAAGAGATGGTTTTCGCAAGTTAAATTAAAAAAAAAATATTAAATGTTATTTTTTTTTCTGGTTTAGCTGGGGTTCCTGGTTGTGATTTGAGGAAAATTCTTTCACAGCTTTATTTGTATAACTTCACCAGGAAACACTGGTATAGGGTAATTAGCTCTATTTTTGTGCTGTTAGGTCTACTACTATGCTACACCTCAGAAGAAAAGAAAATTTTATTGATAAAAAGTTAGGACAGAGTTTCAAATACTTTGAAACTTTTGAGTATCAGCATCAGATTGAGAAAAATACTGTAGAAGCATGAAACAAACATGTCTATCCATTTTACTTCAGTCAGATGGCTTTGCTAATTTCTGTCACATTTTGCAGTGCCTTGTATCCTGTGTCTTTGAAATTCTCATTTAATGAACCACTAGTCATACCTGAAAACAAACCAAAACAAAAAAGCCAAATCTGTAAGAAAAATAAAAGAATTTAAAAAAAAAAGGAAGAAATAAAAAGAGATAAAACCATTATTAATGTGTTATATTATCAATTAGTATTTCTTTACAACCTGTAACTTGACTGGAATTCAGAATTTAATAATTTCTATTTAGAACACAGGAAAGGCAAAGCTGAAAACATCAAACTCACAAGACATAGCCAAATGAAATTGCTGTCCAGAAAATCATCAGTTAATGGCTTGCAAATTTGAGAAGGAGGATAGTGAAACTTTATTTTCTAGTACTCAGGTTAAGGATACAGATGATCTTCAGGTTAAACAATGTGTTACAGGTATGAAAAATTAAGGAAATGAATCTGCTGGCTAAAGTGTCTAGCTTCTCAAAACTCTGTGAAGGAGAGAGGAAAAGTTTGGTGAAGTCTCCTTTCTTTAGATATATTTTCCTTAAGCAGCAACAGAAATCTTTGCTACTTCCCCCTGTGGGTTAAACTCAAATCTTTGCTGAGTTTCATTTTCATCTGTCAGAAAAATGAGATGAAAAGAAGGAGTTTGATCTCCTGAATGTTTTTCCAAGTTACACAGATTCTGCTCTTATTTAAATGGCCTTTTTGACCAATAAAAGACATTCTTCATAAACCAAATTTCCTTTAAATTTCCAGAAGCTGCGATTTATGGGAAATATAACAATTTTTTGTTTGTTTCATAGTTTGTTTGTTTTTTTTAACCTCATAGGTGCCAGGATGAGTGCCCAGTGGGGAGCTACGGGCTGCTTTGTGCAGAGACCTGCAAATGTGTGAATGGTGGGAAGTGCTACCACATCAGTGGTGCCTGCCTCTGTGAGCCAGGGTACACCGGGCAGCACTGCGAAACCAGGCTCTGCCCCGAGGGAATTTATGGCCTCAAGTGTGATAAAAAGTGTCCCTGCCACATGCCCAACACCTGGAGGTAGGCTTTGTCCCCTCTACCCTGCTTTGTTTTTCCTAAATAGAACACAGAAATCCAAATATAACCTGAAAAGGGGTGTTTCCTGATTTTTCTAATACTTTCATGCAGACTGAAGTAGATGAAGACTTGTAAGTATTTGGTATTCTCTGACTGCAATGAAAAAGAAGATACCAACCCAAATGATGCTTTGAATTTTACTTGCAAGCATATTTGATCATAATACTCATGGCTGTGTTTGGTCTCTAACCCATGAAATAAATATTAAGACAAAGTGTGACCTTTATTATGTTTGCCACCTGAATAAATCATTATATTGTTCACTGTGACTGCATAAAGTCAGTGCACATGGGCTTCCCCTTACATACTCTGGGTTAATGTAGAGGAGAAGTAACTGAATTGAAATCAATGGATGTGTAAAATCTTCTGATTAGGGCATGAGAAGCTTGGACATTTCTCTCAGTCTCTCTCCTTATATAAGAATTTCTGTGGGTGACTTATTTTAGTACAAAATTTCAAAGGCTCTACTGTTGTAAATCTGGGTTTGAAAAGTACCTTTTTTGTCATTTAAGTGCTTTTTCAAGTGAGCAGGTAGAATCCAATCCCTGGAAATTAAATGAAAATAGTTTTCCCACTAGCTTAGCTTTTACACATCTCTCCTTATTCAGGAAGTGATGAGCCCTGTTTTTTGAGTTATTATGGATTTTGTCAGCATTTGAGCATATTGTTATGAAAATATAAAAAGTAGTTATCTGCAGACAGAGTTTTAGCTGTGAGGGAGGGATGTCAGATGTCAGTGTAGGCGAGCCAGCATATTTATGGAACAATTGTGGACAGCTTTCTCTTGTTACAAAACAGTTCCTCTGATTAGATACTGTGGTCATTGTGCATTCACTTACACTTAATTGCATTACTAATAACAGTACCTTGGAGAAGGGTTGTGAGCACAATCTAAATTTTTGCTGTTAAAGTAGCTGTGAGGGGAATTTACAGGAACTACTGAGTGTCACATAGAATGCTACTCTGCATGAATATAAGAGGCACTTTTTCTCATAGACAAAATAAAAGCCTGTCATCAGAATTTAGCAGTGATATTAAATCCATGCATGGAAATAGCTACTTGGTTAATTCTTTGTGAAAAATTACTTTGTGTTTTGTTGGAGTTGTCCAACAAAATACAAAATAATTAGGTTTGTTGACAAACTGTGTGACAACAACCTGAATTCTTTTCCCCTTCCAGTCATATAATTTTACAGTTGTGTACTTGCACTTCTGCTCATCCCATTTGCCTGAAATACCTTGAAAAAAATAGAGTTATTTTGATGTAAAATCAAGGAATTTATTATTTGGGCACAGTGTGTTCAGGCACTATAATGCAGGGTCCTCCAGCTCTCAAATTAGGCTAGCACACCAAACACTATTGTGTTATGATTTATGGTTTGCCATTTCCCTACAGAAAATCTGTCTGCAGACTGTTGCAGCAGCCTGGTTTGACAGGAATGCATTGCACTGTATACCATTTCTAATATTACAGGGATTACTTCTGATTCATGTTCCACACAGCTGCTCCTTCATTTATACCATTGGAAGAGACAGCTCGTGGTCAAATCACATCACAAATGTTCACAAGTAAACAACAGCATTTGGCTGTTTTTTTTTTTCTTTTTTTTTTTGGACATTTCTCCCCCATGAATGACAAATCCAAAGGCACCTAACAGCCCTGAAGCTGCTGGAGCATGTTTGCCAGAGCATCATGATGTTTGAGACAAACAAATATTTTCATTGCTTCACCAGTGAATTTTGCATATATGTAAGTTCCTTACCCTTGGGTCAGGATATGCCCAAGACCATAAATAGCAGGAATCAGGGTAATGATGTAGAAGACAAAACTCCCTGTGGGCACTTGAGGCTTTTGAGAGTCTTTTGAGAATCTTTTTAGAAGCCAGTTGTGTTTTGTCCTTGCTTCTTGATGTCAGTCAGCCATTAAGCCAACTCAGGGAATACCCTCAACCCTCTCTTGCCTGCCACAAGCACTGCACTAATTCATTTAGCAGCAAAGTAATCTCAGGGCATGCAAATAAAAAAATAAAAAAGGGTGGAATTCCTTCTGCAAATAATATTTGTGTGTCTGTAGGTCTGGGGTTCTGTTTTGGGGGCCCTTGGTACCATGACAGCTTTTTTCATCTGGGTGTGATCACTGGTTTAGATATCATCAAAGAGGAGCTATTGGAAGGCTTAGAGCTAGAGGTTATTAGTATTAATTAATACAGAAATAAACTAACAGTTAATTAAAAAAAAATGCTTAGCTCCAAAAAATACTGCTCTAAAGAAAGTGTAAAGAAAATTCCAGAATACAAGTATGTTTTTACTTGTTTTCTTCACCTACTTCTCCACATACATAGTTGAAAAATGCACATTCTTTGGCTTTTATTACTGTTTTATGATTGACAAAGATTGCATCAAAACAGCTCTGACAATAATTCATTATTGGCATTTTGGGTAGGCTAAACTGTAGGGATTTTTCTGCTGCTTTTGGTTGATGGCAGCTCCTGGAGATGAAAGGCAAGCCCTTCCTTGCTCTTGGTTGTACCAGCAGCATTTATTAAATCCTTTGTAGAGCATAAAAATAGCTATACTTGAGAGATTTTTACCTGTTTGAGGGGCCCAGAGGACAGCAACAGGTAAAAACCTTCTTGTACCAGCAGCCTTGGTGCAGTTCAGCCTGCAATTAAGATTTATTCAAGACATGAGCACTAAAGGGTTTTTTTTTTCTTGTCTTATGCACTTTCTGAGATACCTGCGTAGGATTGTTTGCAGTTTGATTGGTGGAATTCATGTTTGGTTCATGTAGTTTGGCTCTGTTTTTAAAATAAAGATTAGGGCCTTTTAATTTGCTATTTTTCTAATTGGCCTTTATGTACAGATAAAGAGCTTTTAATGGAAATTTTGTATTTATTCATATTTATGTTTATTTTTAGGGTGCTAAAGAACTTGGTTGGATACTCTAAAAGCAAAGCATGCAAATGAAGCATATAAAAAACATTATTTTCACCTAAGTCCTTCAAATAAATCATATGAACTACCCACAGTAATTTTTTTTGTCTCTGTACAGAGCAGGGTTGCATTTCCAGCAAGTGTGAACAGACAACCAGAAATAAAAGAGGATATACTGCCAGTATCTCTCAGCATCTCTTTATATCCCTACCTTAATATTTAAACATTATTGCCAATTAAGAGAACTGCGTGAGAACCCATCAAAAACCTGCAGAAGTGCTTTGTCTTCCTACATCTAATTACAAATCACAGAATACTAATTTTGGCGTCAATCAATACTGAGGGCAAGGGCGCCTCAGTGGCACTCACTGGGGGGCACAGAATATCAATGCCTCTGCCTCATATCCAGTGCTTCCTCATGTGTGTGGCTCCCCCTCTCCTGGAAGGGAAAAAAAAAAAAAAAAAAAAAAAAGAAAAAGCTCAACAACAAACCACACTTCCAATCAGGAATTTACAGGATTCTGTGAACGCTTGGATTTTTGTCATAAAGCACCAGTGCTACTGAATTTATGTTCAACTATCTAGTTGTGGATTGATTTTTTTTTTTTTTTTAGTTTTCCCTTCTCTGTGTTCTTCCACTGATGAGAACTCAGTGGTCCTAAAAGACTTTAGGACAGGAGACAGACCTGATTATCTTGCTGCATCATGTGTCTTCATAATTTTGTCTGTGTTTTATATGAGAATGGCTCCATTTCATATCGTTTCATGGCTGGTATGCACATAACTAACAAATAACCAGGGCTATTCAGTATGAACACCATGAGTTTTGAGCCATTTCTGTGTGAAAAGGCCTTTCCTCTGAGTTTATGTCAACACTGTCAAAGGTTTTGACGGTATTTTAATATCCTGAAGACCCATGAATTTTTATGGTGCCGCAGAATATGCATTAAATATGCAGAAAGCAGAATACATAGTGATGTTCCAGCTTTCACAATCCCTGCCTTCCCTGATTAGCAGTGGTTGTTTTCAGCACTTTTAAACTCTTTACTTGGACAAGAGCAGCCCTCAAGTCCAAAAGCATCTATAAATAATGTTGTGTTCCTATGTTATGCTGCAGCTCTTTCAAAGATTGCTGTTGTAGTGTTACAGCACCTGAAAGTGCAGCAGGAATTTTTTCAGACTTTCAAATGTTCATAAAAATACTCAGTTTCCAATACACCCCCATATACAAAGTCAGCAAGTCTTGCAAAACCAGGCTCTTGTCATGGGTCATTTAATTTGTCTGGAGGAAGGTTTTTGCTTTTTTTTTTTTTTTTGTCCTTCCAGCACTCTTAAAGGAGCTTCACTTCAATCAGTGGGAGGCAAATATCTCCAAACAGTCTTCCCATTGTAAATATATTGGATTTGGATACTAAGGCTTTCCTTTGGTGAGAATTAAGCAAATGCTTTGTCTGCCAGAGTGCTACAGAGCTCCCCATTGTGTCCCCTCTCCCAGCCTATATATCCTTGCACAGCTGATGATGTCCATTTGTTACGAGGCAGCAGCTGCCTGCGTGGCCCTTCAATGAAACTGCTGTTCCAGGTATAGAGGCAGCTGCTCTGCCACCAGGTATGGCCAGCAGAGAGGGGAGATAGTCCCCAAAAGGTCACTGCTCTCATGCTATAGCTGGCTTCTGCCCAGTGCTGATGGTTTTGTACCATTCCCTGAAAGATTCCAGTTGTCCTCTTCCAAACTAACTTAATGAAGAGAATGTTCTCGCTTTGCTGGTGGGTGCTGTGTTGTTATTTCCTGTTGGATGCCATGCTATTTTTCTTTTATCGTGTTTCTCAGACAATATGCTGCTGAGCTTCTGCAGGGTTACGAAAATCATCCTGTTAGAGCAGGAATCTAACAACAAATGTTGGGGAATTTAATGGTTTCATCCTCTTAGTATTTGTATCAGTGGATATCTGTGCTATGGTAAAAATTGTGTTTCAGCAAGGTTTCTGTTCAAATAGAGAAAAATTATACCCTTTCATTTCTTTCCATGTCCTCCCAAAATGTCTGTATGTTGTATAATTTTACATTTCCTATCGTAATTGGAGCATTATTTTGTATAAATACACCAAATTGTCTTGGGGGAGTAAAGTCATCTCATGCAAGGACCTTCACTCAACCCATCTAAAACAGGGAGAGTTTTGGGTGGTTTTTTTGGTTTGTTTGTTTGAGTTTTTGGTGGGGTTTTTTTGGGTTGTTTAGGGTTTTTAATTTGGTTTTTTGGTTGTGGTTTTTTGGGGGCTTTTTTGATTTTTTTCGTTTAGGTTTTTGTTTGTTTTTGTTTTTGGTGTTGGTGGTTTTTTGGTTGGTTGGTTTTGTTTGGTTTTTTTTTTTTTTTTTTTTTGGTTTTTTTTTTTTTTCCTGTGGAAGGAAAATAATATTTATGCCATGTTTAGTCCTGAATTACTGAGTTAACCTTTCATCCCCCACCCCTGGCAGCTGTCACCCCATGTCTGGGGAATGCTCCTGCAAGCCAGGCTGGTCTGGGCTGTACTGCAACGAGACGTGTTCCCCGGGCTTCTACGGGGAGTCGTGTCAGCAGATCTGCAGCTGCCAGAACGGGGCTGACTGCGACAGCGTCACTGGGAAATGCACCTGTGCCCCTGGATTTAAGGTAAAAGAGGTCTCACTTTCACAGTTTCACAGTTTTTGGCCCCAGTTGTGCAACAAATTCTTCAGGGTGTCACCTTGTCCCTTCTTCGCCGTGGTAAAAGGGAAGTGAGGGTGTTTGGGTAGCACTGCCTGTGCTGCAAGACCCTGAAAAATGAACATTTCTGATGGGTTCTCACTGCTAAAATGAAGGCATTTGTAGAAGAAGTTACTTTCTTTATAAGATGTTGGTAAGAATGAGGACGTGCTGATGAGTTGTAAGTAAAGGGAGGAATGATGGGTTTCAGCCATCAACTCCTCACGCTCCATCCACAGAAACTCCAGCCAAAGACACTTCTTTTTATACTTCAGGACAGATTATTCTTCAACTTTTACACACATTTGCAGTTACATGTGCTTTGGATGCTAATCTAACATTTTACAGTATGACTGTTCTTGTGAAAGTAATAACTGAAAACGTCAGCCAAATTAGCTCTTAAAAATATTTTACATACCCATATAATTAACCATTAGACTGCTTTCTTACTGTGTTTTGACTTCATAAAGAGCTTCTTTATTACTGTCCACTGAGCCACCTGATCCACCCAGGTGCTATGTGACATGAGCTCTCAGAACAAATCCTAGAAAACCAATACTTACTTAAAAAGACTTAAAAATGCTTCAATGGCATGAAGACATCCCTCTCTCCTAAATTAATTTAGTGACAGCCTAGGACATGCATGGGTTGTATTTTTTCTGGCTTTTGTATCACTTGAGTCAGTTGTGTTGTCTGAGCCTCCTCAGATGGTTTTTAGACCATTTCTTTTTATAATTCAGGGTGCATCTTGTGGTACCCCTTGTCTCCCTGGGACATATGGAGTGAACTGCTCCTCCGTGTGCAGCTGCAAAAACGGGGCCACCTGTTCACCTGTGGATGGCTCTTGTGCCTGCAAAGTAGGTAAGTATCTCCTCAGATGGATTTTATTTCCCTGTAACCATGACATGAAATTAGGTTTTTGAAGTAGAGAAAAGGAAACTTAATGAGAAGCAGACACTTGATGCTTTTGCTGCTCTGGGAGGTGAAAACAAGGAAAATATGTTCTCAGGGAAGAAAACATGTTCTCTGCTCTGTCAGGAGCATCCTTTATCTGATGTCAGCATTCCTAATCAAAATCATACAGAATCCCAGAACAGTTTGGTTGGAATTACATAACTTTCCTATTATTTTTTTAAATTAATGGTTTTCATTAGCTTTTAATAATTTGTTTTTAATTAATCATAACCCGTATGCTGACTATAAGCAGTGTGTTAGTTTTTAATCACTTCTAGCCACAATTTAGCAAAGTTTGTCATAAGCAGCTGTTGTGGGAATACTTGGGAAAAGTTACTGAAACTTCCAAGTTTTCCTTAGCTAATTTTGATATTCGTCAGTGAACAAAGCCTGGGGGAGGGAGAGAGAGAGAGATGAATTCTTTAAAACCAATACAAGAACTACAGAATTTATGGGCTACAAAGACATTTTGCAGAAACCAGAAGATGAGGAAGACATCAAGATAACAAAGACTCCATGTATGTGTGTTGGAAACTCTACCTGTGGAAAACATAATAAAAAGAGTGAAAAATGCAGACTAATTAGCCTGAGAAGTGGGGAATCAATTACCAATAGAGGATAGAATGCTATGTAATGAAAGAGAATTACATAATTTAGAACCAATGAATAATAATCTCTCTGTTTGCTAAAAATGGATAAATAAGTGAAGTAAGTTTTGTGTCTGCCTCACCGTGGAGGTCAGAATTTTGTCAGACACACACACACACACACAGACCCTGACCAAGAATAAACAAATGCCTGAGTTGCTGACACAGAGAAGACAGTGTTAGAGGGGTTTATTTATACCTAGGATTTTGGATGATTTGGTAACAGTTTGGGTTGGAAGGAACCTTAGAGACCATTTTGTTCCACCCCAGCCATGGCAGTGTCACCTCCCACTGTCCCAGCTGCTCCAGCCCCAGTGTCCAGCCTGGCCCTGGGCACTGCCAGGGATCCAGGGGCAGCCCCAGCTGCTCTGGGCACCTGTGCCAGGGCTGCCCACCCTGCCAGGGAACAATTCCCAATATCTCATCCAGTAGAGTTTGCTAGGCAAATAACCACTACATTTTTCAGGGACTGACACTTTTAAATCAGTTGTGCAGCAGATGTGGAACTTTTTCCAGAGAGAGTGGGGCTAATTTAACACTGTTCAGGTAGATACTGCAAAGCAGCTAGGTCGTGAGGATAAAAATATTCCTTGGGCAACGCAGAATCCTATCTTTCTGTACCCCACACAATTTTAATCATACTACAGTAAATGAGGACAGCAAAAAGTAAAATTAAAGTGAACCTAGATACTTGCCATGTAAACAAAAGAAGATTATAAATCTTGGGGAGACAGTTAAGGGAAAGTGTCTCAATTTCCTAGGCAAATTACAAAACATATGTTTTTTTCCTGAAATGACCCCTAAATTTGAAGTCATCAATGAAGCACGAGGCAGCCTGATTTCCGTGTATGTGTTTTGCATAGCCTATTGATCAGTCTCAGTGCAGAGTTATTTTTCCCTCCACTTACTGTAAACAAGGTACAAAATTAGAAAGTTGGCCTGTGTCACTGGTGATGTTAATATGTGACTGACTGCCTCACATTGCTCCTCTTGAATCCAATGGATGATCACATTTTAAAAAATCTATTCACATCTCAGTCTATCCAGTCTGCAAACCATTGCTATTGGGCATGATCGGTGGCAAATGCTGCATTTTAGAGCTATTTTCCATTACATTTCCTTTTGCATTTGGAGAGAAGTACAGAAATAAACTAAAAGGTCTTCCATGTTTCCTGAAAGGATCCAAATCCAAGTTATGCAGTACTTTTACGTGTGGGTTTTTGTTTTTTGTTTGTTCGTTTGTTTTTGGTTTTTTGTTTGTTTGTTTGTTTTTTTGTTAGATACCTGTTAAAATCATATTACAAGACTGTCTGACTTGAATGCTGGTGGAACAATTACGAAAGCAGCAGCTTGAGCCTAAGGAAAATATTCCTAATTATTTTCAGGCTACACCTTAACACTCTCAGTGTTGTTTAGAGCTTCTCAGTGAAATGTCAAGGTGTCTCTATTTCCATTTCAGATCTTCCATCAGTCTCTTTTGCTTGTTGGCACCCATCTGCAGATGTGTGCTGTGCACAGATGTTACAAGGTGCCCTTGAACACCTTTGTTCCAACCTGGACAAGCCCTCAGCTGAAGCTGCTGATAAATCCTGCACTGAATTTTACCCCAGGATTGCCCATCTCAGAGACATGCAACATCATCTGGGAGGAGTGGGGGAAAACCTGATTAATTTCTCAGTTTAATCCCTTTTTTTTTTTTTTTTTGGCAGGTTGGCATGGTGTGGATTGCTCCATAAATTGCCCCAGTGGCACGTGGGGACTGGGCTGTAACCTGACCTGCCAGTGTCTCAATGGAGGGGCTTGCAATGCTCTGGATGGAACCTGTACCTGTGCCCCAGGATGGAGGGGAGAGAAATGTGAACTCCCTTGCCAGGTAGTTTAATAATTCCACTGAATTTTGAGTTTTTGTAGGAGAATATTGGGCAGGGAGGGGCATCTGTCATTCTTCTGACATTCTTCATCAAATGCTATCAAAATGCTACTGTTCAGTTACTTTTAAGTGTAAATAATGAGAGAAAAATACACCCCAAATAAAATAATGTCATTTTAATGACTTTTCTCCTTACATCTGTATTACAGTACGAATAAAGAATTCTCATTCTTTCTCAGACAAAAGTGAGAAGCTACTTTTGCCACCCAGTCCTGTCACAGGTCTTTGCTTTTCTACTGGGGCTTTGGCTTCTCCTCTCTCCCAGACTTTGGAAAATCAGAAATCATTGTGAGGACAGTGGCATGCTCCTTATCAGTTCTGTTCCACCTTGTAATCTGCAGCTTTGGGGAAATAAAATACATAAATTCAAATACGTAATTTCAGAAGTTTTTAAGTTGTAAGATTCCAAGTGTATTTGTTTTATTGTGTAACTATTTGGCTTCAATTATATTTCATACACTTAAAAAAAAAAGAAGTATTTTATAAAAGTGGATTTTTCCAGGGTCCACTGTTTTCAGTGATGGACATCAATCTTCTGGGAAACTTTTAACAAAACTAATTATGAAAATAAACTGCTCTCTGTCCTCCTTTTCTCTTCCCCTGTCAATTGGTAACTTTTGCAATGTATCTGCAGATCAGGTTGTTGGTTTGATGTAACTGCAAAGGAATCACCCAAAGTGAAAACACACCCTATAAATTCCTACTCCCATATCACTTTTAAGCTTATTTCAGTTTGGATGAGCTCCACTGAGCAATGACATGATGGGAGTAGCTGAACTACAGTAAAAAACTGAAAATCACCTTGTTTTCAGTGAATTTTTTTTCCTGCTGAACTGCACTAGTGAATCAAGAGTGATTTTTTGGGTCTTTGGTTTTAAGATGAAGCACTCCTGTAGTGAGTAAAGAGGCAGAGAAAATGGAATATATTCTGGAAAGCTGATGGCAGTACCACCTGTGCAGTGTTTCCAACAATGCATCTCCATCAGAAGACTGATTTTTCTGTTTCCTCAAGAAGCTTTGTTTTTCACTTAGTGCCTGATTCTGAAGGGTGATGAGACCTCCCAAGCTGCATTAGCTCTTCCAAAACTGACATTTTAAAAAGACATATTTCAGAGTAATTGTACCAGTATCCCAAACTTAGTAAAATAAAGCTTAAAAGCATTTCTGTATCAGGTAATTCAGCAAGCCCAAACTCATTGACTTCCTCTTCCTCTCTCTATCTGCATCAAACAATGTCCATAAGCATTTAACTATTTCAAATGCAAATTCTGCTTCAAAATTCCAGAGCAGGGGAATAAACAGAACTTGTTTATCCAAATAATAATAAATACAATAATTTATTAAGAAATAGTTCAAATAATTCCAGTTGTCTGAAATGTTTTTCATGTCTGAGCAGAGACTTTATTTAAATAAATGTATTTTAGTTTGTTTCAGTAACTTCAGAACATTGTTATCACTGCTCAGATTGTTGTTCAAGATTTGAGCTACAGTTTGGACTTGAGTCCAAGTACATAGCAAGCTAAAAATACTACTTTTCAACAGCATATTTGAGGATTTCCTTTGATTCCAAATCTGATTATATGCAAAGGAAATGCTTAATCTTTCTTTTTCTGTATATAAAAATGTATTATTGAGACGAGTGAAAGGCTCCTTACACTGAAGTAATGTAAGATTTTGTTCTACTTTAGACTTGAAAGACTGGCATTTGAATAGCTAAATCCTGTGGCACTTGGTTGGAATGTATGCATGAACAACAAAGAACAGCAGATTACTTTTCATATAGATTTTATTCAGATTTTTAATGTGACTGGCACTATTTTTTTAGCATTTAATGTAAATTATTTGGGTTTAAACCTGACATGATTTTTTTCTTTTTTGCCTTTGCTGTGGGTAACCCTGAAGTATTACTGAAGTATTACAGTAAATTATACTGGCCTTTTTTCCATGCTCATTTTTTTTTCATTTGGTTCTGACACTTTTTATCCAAAGTCAGTTGACTCTTATACTTTGCCTTGTTTGGAGATTGTAAAGAATCTGCTCTTCTGAGTTTCTTGGGTTTACTTTGTGTGAAATTATCCACAAATCTGTGTGCCAGCTTCTATGGAAGAAGCGGGAAAAGCAAAATCAAATGTTTAGATGTTTTCTATGGAAAAAAGAAATACACCAACAGGGTGATCCACTTGGAACTGTAATCTCTTGAAATGTTGCATAGGTAAAAATGAAAGTTTTGTTTTGTGCACTGTTCCATAGCCAAAGATTTTCTCTTTTTGATGGAGTATATGTTGCAGTGTCGAGAAAAATGTTTTTAATCAAGATAAATGCTTCCAATGAAAAGAAAGTGATAGTTTGCCTTATTTATGCAGTGAACCTCACACTGAAGGTATCTTGTAATTTAACGGTTTTCACTCATTTTGTTTAAAATTATGCCTCTGTGTGGTACCCATTTTGACGCATAAGCAGAGATCTCAGGGTTTGATGCAAAAAGGAGACTTAATTGTTTTAATTAAGGGATTTTTCAAGAGAGCATAATTCATTCTTTATCTTCCCCACTTTCATGAAAAAACGCAAGTGTAGGATGCTGACATGTTCCAAACACCACAAGTATTTTACATTAATAGCAGCCTGGAGATTCAGCAAAGATCTGTGGCTGCTTTTTGAGGCTGGGCTGACCCTAACTTGTCTCTCCTCTAACTCCCAGCTGCCATCATCTCTGGGCTGTTCTGTTTTTTGTCGCCACAGGACGGTACCTACGGCCTGGACTGCGCCGAGCGCTGTGACTGCAGCCATGCAGACGGGTGCCACCCCACCACGGGCTACTGCCGCTGCCTCCCAGGATGGTCAGGTACAGGAGACACCCTTGGGAAGCACAAAAACAGAGTTCCCACCAGTGGGACTTGGTTTTGTGGGCAAAGGAAGATTTGAGAGGTTGGAAGGGCAAGTGGTCCCTGTTCTGTGGCCTCTTTGTCCCCCTTCTGACTCATGGGTGGGGAAGTTTTCCAGTGTGATCTGCTGAAAACTGGGTCTAGAAAGAGAAACCTTAAAGCTTGGGCACCTCTACTACACAATTCCTTGCAAAAGTGGTGATCAGCTGTAAATATCCAAGGTTGTTCTGGCAGCTTTGGGGTAAAACATCGTGCACAGGAACTCGGGAAGCTTTGTTCAGGCAGCCAAGAAGAGGATGAACCATTGCCCTAACTTGTCAACCTCCTAACTGGTCTCAAACCACGACAACTGTGCTGCCATTTCAATGTCTCAACATTTTTTAAGTTTCTCTGCACATATTTTGTCTTGTATGAAAATTTCTGCAAAAAAATTTTTTTTTTCTTTTACATTGTGATTTTAAGGACTATTGTCAGTCAAATAATTCACCAAAATTTCTGTTTGGCACTGTTGTTGCAACCTCTTGCTAGTGTAAAGCAAGATTTTTTGAAAACATGGTGGAACTCTGCAGAAAGGCAGCTATCATGAAATTCCTTTTATCTCTAGAAGGGAGTTTTAGGTCTCACAAGGATTTCTAAGCTTTAAATTTGGAAGAGCTCTTTGATCTTCAGTGAGGTTCAATTAACACTGTAAGTTTGCCCCTCTTGGAGTGTTCCAGCTGCCTCCCTGTGATGTTGCAACGTTGCAAGGGTTATCTCATCTCACCTGTCTGTGTGGACTCCTTCTATATAATAATGAGGAGTCAGCATGAAAAACAAATCTTAAATGAGCAAAGCATTTTTGTTCTCTTAAAAGCAGTGTTTTATCTGTGATTTTAGATATATTTTACTATTCTATAAACTAATATTTAGCCTGAGTTGTAAGTTCACGATAGAATTGTTTTGTTTTTTCCTATGATGCTTTTAGACAAAGTAGATGGACGTAAGCTTGTAATTTCCTCAGATATATACAGTCTTACCATTGGTTTTTTTCCCCAAACCTTTATTTTTGTATGCTCTTTCTTCCTAGCTCTGTGGATGGATTGCCAGCATCTTGTTTGAAGTACATTATACTTGGTGTCTACGATTCAGGTTGATTAACTGTAGCTGATTACAGCTTACCTGCTGTTTTTTCTACTTTCTGTTTAGATTAACATGACTTTTATGATTACTGGGGGTAGGAAGTGGAAATCTCTAGGGGATACAGATAGGCAGGAAGAGCTCCTGCTTTGCTCTGGAAGACCAAACCTTTCTACTCATTTATTACTCAGGAAACCTCTTTACTCATTTTTTCTGTTTATTATCTGTTTGAGAAGGCCTGTCTCACCATATCCTCTCAGTGTGAATGAGAGGAGCTTTAAGAGCAGCACTCACCTAACTGAGGCAGGACCTTTTTTGGTTCAGTTCTCTTCCCACAAACTGCAGTGTGACTTGCCATCAGCCACTCAGATGCTTCAGGAGTGCAGAAAATAGTAGAAGCTACCAAAAAATACCATTAGCCTCATGCCAGCTATTGCTGTTTTTTCCTGACAGTACTTTGTGTTTCTTTTGTTATGATGCTAATGTCCCTAACTTTCAGGTAGTTTTCAGGTAATTGTGTGTGTGTTTGAACACATTTCTCCAAACTTATATTGAATTCTACTCAAAATGTGATCTCATAAATTACTAAATCTATCAATCAAAGAATACCCACCACAAAAACCTGTGAAATGTTGCTGATCTTAATGGTGTAGGTAGGTAGAGCTGTTCACAAGTCCTAAAGGCACAGTTTGCAGTGCATCCTGTAAGTCAAAATGGTCAAAATATATTAATAAATGGGTCCAGGTTAAAACAAGCAGTTTTGAAAGGCCAGATTAAAAATCTAGCCTAACCTGTTTTATAACAGGTTATAAAAATTATAAAAATTTCCTGGCAAGTGTGATATAACTAACCCGGGGTGTGACAGAGGCTTCAAGTGCAGCACAGACCTTGACTGTACTTGGATTCAGGTATGGGAGAGGATAATATATCAATAATATACATTATATAATATATAATAAGATAAAGACATAATACAGTTATATTGTGTAGTGAAATCTTACTTTGCCTTTGTTCTTAGGAAAAATACTTCACAAGAAAGAGACTTCAGGCCTAATTATTGATAAAATGGAGCCCCCCATCCCTGGATGATGTCACCAGAACAGCATGTGTGTGACAGACTAGTTTTGACATGTTGGTGATGTCTAGACACACTTTACAACATCCACAGCATAGCTCACTTTATACTCAGTCTCTGGAAAAATCCTCCTCCCACACTTCACATGTCAGAGCAATACCCAGAGAGGAGTCCAGGCTTTGTGCAGATGCTTATATTTGGAATGATTAAAAAAAGGAGGGAATTCTTCAGGAAAGGGCTCTCAAATAGCTGTGCTGTAACAGTGCATTGCAGAAATAGCAGAAGATTGTAGGATTAAGGAGGGAGGTTGTGCACAGAGTTGTGTGGAGAAGCAGGTGGAGGATGTGTGGAAAATGCAGGAGCTTCTAAAATGAAAAAAATTATGTTAGAGTAGCTTAGCTGCCTTTTTTTTTTTTTTTTTAATGTTGGATTTTTGAAAGTAACCATTAGACATACTAGTTTTGGGTGGGTAGTATTACCTACCTAGCTGAAGAACAGAGGGAAAACCAGATTTTGGATCAGTTTAATACTTATCTAACCCAAATGAAGGATTTAGTTGTTTAAAACCATTGGGGTTAAACCAGTTTTAACTAGTGTTGGATATACATTTTGAGGAAGCTTAAAAATGTGAACTTGTATTTTTTGGTTTTAAGCACAAATAAATCCATGACACCAAAGTGAATCCAAGTTCACCAAGGTGAACTTCCCAAGATGTTTTGATGCCATCAAAATAACACAGGCTTTCTGAGAAGGTACTTTAAACACAGCATTTTCCTCAGCCCTGTGAACAGAACAGTTATCTGCACTTCCCCCAGGGAATTTCATCAGAGGGAATAGTTTATGTAACTTTTCAGAAGCAAACGAAGGAGTGACACAGTTGTCCCACAAGGCTGGGGAGCAGGAAAAGCTGCATGGGGAGGGTGGGTCAGTGACCTCGGGGTGTGAGGGAGCTCTGAGCTGCTGACATGGGCACAAGGGCTTGGTCTCAGCCCCCAGACAGAGCTGCAGTTCCCCACTGGGTCAACAGTGAGATGTTCTAAGGTTTCGTTTTGTTAAGTAGTTTTTAGTTTGTTTTTGAGCATGCCCAGGGTGTTCTCTTTTCCTTATTACATTCTGCTTAGGAGTAAAAGTTCCGTTTTTTACTGTTGCATTAAAAGATTCAAGAAACAGTTAAAATTAACTTTCATTAGATCTCTGTTTTCATTTGGGGTTGCTGGTTTTCATTTGGGTTCTGCTTCATGCTAACCAAAAGCAACTTAGGTTTACAGGACCCCTGTTAGAAATCCTGTGCTCTTTTGTAGTTTGCAAAATGCTTTCCCTCTGCAGCAGCTTGACTCTGTTTAGGGAAGGAAGAGTTAAGGGTGATGTTTTTTTCCTGGCAGTCTGACCATTCCATCACGTTCCAGGAGCCACATGACAGGATGGCACAAATGAGAAACATCCGCCCACACAGAGGATGATGTCTGCCCCAAACTCCCTCATCCCTTGACATTTTCACTGAATCTTATAAATAACTTCTTTTTCAGTTGGGGAAAATTCTTTTTTATTTCTCAGTAGGCAGAGACTGGAAAAGAGTAAGAACTATTAAAATAGAAAACAGAAGAAACACGCAGAAAATATACTCTCCTGCTAGATAATGATAATTCTCCTATTAAATTATATCAAAACTTTGGGTTGCCTTCCTTTAAAAAGGTACATCTAACAGTTTGCTCAACAAGCAAACCAACAAGCACCATAACAATTTCATCCCTTAATCTTATCTGTTCTGCATGCAGCTGTCAAAATAAATCTCTCCCAAATTTTCTGAAAGATTAGGGAACCTATATTCTTGCAAACAGAGGTTTCGCATTAAATCATTACTCAATTAAATTAAGTAAAGCAATATGATTAATTAATTTAAATGGCAAAAGCTTTTTCCCTCCAGACAGTTTATTAGTGTAATTGCAGTGATGTGGGTTTTCCTGATCACACATCACTGCTCTGCTTCCACTGGTGCAGCACCTTTGCATTTGTGAAGAGATGTCACGTCGGGGTGGCGCGACATTTGTTACTCTCAAAATCGATTTAAAGGCTATGTGATGCCAGGGATTATGAAATACCACTAGTCTGCTATCTGTACCAAAACAATGGCAGTGGTTTGTGGAAAAGACAGATGCAGTAATATCAGCCCACATTTCACCAGCGCGCAGAGCGTTCACCCACAGGCTGCAGCAGGAGGGGTGTCAGTGACTTTTTCTGTGCTGGACACCTGCTGGCATTACTCAGCTCACCCATCACCAGATGTGTTGTTTCTGTGTCCTTCCATGTGCTTCTGACAGTATTTCTGAGAGGCACATTTGTTGCTGGATTATAAAGGGGAGGTCTGCCATCTGACACCCACCCCACTGGTGGAAACACCCAGGTCTGCTGGAAGGCTGCAGCTCTGCCTTGACCCTCAACTTTCCATGAGTATATATTTTCCCCCATCCTACGAAGCAGAAAAACAGAATTGGAAGAGTTCTGTCATGGATCTTGCTCACTTTTGGAACAAAAATGAGCTGCTGCTGTAGCACCAGTGCACCCAAGATTCTCTTGTAAAAACATGATCTTCCCTCTCCTGCCACTAGTTTCGCCTGGCCTCCTGAAGGATGAGGCCCCATTGGGAGGAATACTCATGAGCTGCAAAATGAAATGATATCTGAGCACTCTCTTACGATAAATGACAAATCTGCTTTTCAAACTTGGGGAGAGGAATTCTCCAATAAGAGGTTTTGTGGGAATCCAGGGCTTCCCTCTGGCTGCCCTGGCAGGTCTGGGACCCTGGCAGGGGTCAGGAACCCCCCTGGACAGAGCCCCCAGAGACACTGTCTGTGATCTCTGTCCATGGAAAATAGTTGTCAATCTTACAGGATGAATTACCAGCTCTGAGTGTTTGATATCAGTAATAATTAAGTGTGGCACGGGTGCAAAAGTAGAATTTTAGGTTTCTAGATTAGGGGTCCAAAGGGGACAAGATGGAGGAAATTGGGTGTGTCTTGTCCTTTTCCTCCTCCTTCACACCCTCCATGTTTCACTGTGGTGTTGGCATTTTTCTGTTGGTTCAGGCTGGGGACACACTGTCCAACGTAGGTGACAGATATTGGCACGTTATTGTAAATCCAGCACAGGTAGTTTGTGGTATTTAATGTTTGTACCATCCCACTGAGGGCAGAGCCCCGCACGCTGCCCTGCAGGACAGAGCTGCGGCAGGGCAGCAGAACATGTTAGAGATAAACAGAATAAACAACCTTGAAACAGCACAGACCAATTATGGCTTCTGCTTTGGCAATGGGGCAGAAAGACAGAGACTTTTTACAATCTCAGAATCATCAATACCCACAGATTCCAACAAGGTTTGGCTCCACCCTACATCTGGATTTCGCTGTGTCCATATGTCTGTTCTCTGTGTGCTGTGGTGGATCTTTATGTGGAAGAAATACCACCCTTTTAGGAAAAAAACCAGCTTTAAATCAGTGATTAAGTGTATCTGTTTTCTGCCTACAAAGAAGTTAAAGAAGAAGTCTTACTTTCCTGGTGGCTGCCTAGAGATTGATAGATTAAAAGAAGAGCATTTCTGGAGTGGATAGCAGTATGTAGCAAGAGTACGGCCTTCAGAAGGATACTACATATATCTCAGAAGGGATTCTGCCACTAAAATTTGCAGATAAGGATGTCTGTTTTCAAACTCAGATGCCCTTGTTGACAGTCTTTTCTAGCTGACTTTCTGCCAAAACTTCCAGCCACGACTCTTCTGCTGCTGCAGTGAAGCAGCTGAAATGTTAACTTCTACAGAAAAATCTCTGATCATCTCATTAGCTCCTCTATTTGGGACACTTAAATTAATTCCTCTGGCTACCACCTCCCTTTCTTTGGGCTGCCCATCTGTTATTTGACAGAGAAATTAGGAAAGTAATTCTCACTTACAGAAGCTGCTGTGAATAGAAGTGTCAGTTTTTCTCAAATATGAAGGGCATGCTCTTGGACCATAATGAGAAAGCTTTAATGACACAAAGATTCGTCCAGCCTTTGAAGGTCTTGCTCCTTCTTTAGTTTGGGCTGCTATATATCCAATTTTGCACTGACACACGGGAAGAATACCAGTTTTTAATGCTGAGGGGTTATACTGGAAAGTTCCATGTGTATTAACATGAATTGTGCACAGCAAACACATGTTCTTTATGAAAAAAAAAAAAAATTCTTCTTGACGTTTGGATAACCTTTTATCAGACTAATGGAAACATAATAAGCTGTAAAACAGCACTTACTCCAATAGTAAGTTTGCATGGGAAGATAGTAAGAAATAATTGGTAATTTTTTCCCCCCCTTCAAGTGCTAAAACAAATCAGCTCTGTGTTGATCTGACTTGGGTGGATCACTAAGACTCAAGTTAAAAATACAGCATAGGGAGTGTGCAAATACTCTGCTAGCATGGGCAGGAGGAGTCGTATCCCTGAAGAATTCTTCACTTCATTCATGCAATTACGAATGCTGGGGGAATGCTGATTTGGATGTGAGGCCCCCAGCATAAAGCACTGGGCATTAAATGCACGAGCATTTCTTCAGAGCAGCTTAGCTGAAGTTTATCATGACCATTCAGCTATTGCCTAGCAACTTGTGAAGACCATCAAAGAGCTCTTTGTCCATAGCTCTGGCGAAAACATTTTCTTGCAGATATCCTTATCAGTATCAGAACCAACATGAAAACTTAATAAAAACAATTTTATTGTGTAAGAGATTAATACTTGCACAAAACTGTGGCAATCATCAACCAGTTGGTAACACTGTTGTAAAAGCTGAGTCTAATCTTGCTTTGCAAGTTCTAGTAAAAATGCTTCTTTCTTTCTGAGTAATTTCTGGCTTTTCTATCAAAGCATAGCTTTCTTTGCTGAAATTTCATAAAAAGCATCACTCTGGAAATTAATTTCATTATTTTTTTTAAATCCCTGTAGTATTTCTAACCTGTTCTTTGTCAAAAATACATAAAAAATCAAATACAAAAATTTGGTTTTTACAACTGTAAGTTATGAAACTCAACTTGTTATTTTTAAGTGCCTTGTGAACTTACCAAAATAAATAGTGAGTAAGACTGAAAACTATTTTAATAAATAGAGATGCATTAAATGATTTCAGCCTTGCTACATTTGTTCTTTACACTCAGAGGAGTAAAACTGATTTTCCTAACAATCAAGAGTGAATATAATAAAATTACAGTGAAACAGAATCATATTCAGCAATCTTGCATGTGTTGTCATTATTGTTACTCAGTGATATTTAGTGTACACTGTTTATTTGCTAAGTAGAGTGATGCCATTGTTCATAAGGGATGAAAGTGGGCAATAAAAGGTTTTTTTAGTTTCCCTAAGGGATGATTTTCCCTGATGTGTACTGAAGGAGCCTTTTTTCCCCCTTTTTTCATTTTTAGTGGTAGTTTCTGGCTCTTTTAAGCCCTGTGGCTCTGTGCAGCATGGGACCCATTGTCTTCCCCATCCCAGCGTGCCTGCCTCACCCCTCAGACACTCTGCTGTCATAAAGCATCCTCTGTGCACAGATCAAGGCAGTATAATTGAGCCTGGTGTTATTGTATGTCACTGGTCTACATAATCTCAGATAATGCACTTTGGTAGCTCTTGGCAACCACTGGCTTGTTAATAGTGACCATTATACACTGAGCACCGCTGACACCCATTGAGGCTGTGAAAAACGTCTTTTCTGCAGCAGGGTGCACCGAGTGTGATATGGCAGACAACCCTCTGAGGTGCTCTGCCTGTGTTTTCAGAGACTTAGAGACCCAGATTCTCAAGTTTGGGAACACCAGGCAAAGCAGCAGCTGGAAGAAGTGGTCTTGTTTCTGGGAAAAAAATGAATTAAAATGTGGTGATGTCATACTGCTCTTGTGCACCAGCATCTCTCAGAATCAAACCTCTCTCTTTTATTAGCTGCAATGAGTTAATGAAAAGTTTGAACTAGACTGCTGAGAAACAAGTCAGCACTGACTCTCAAATGTAGATGGAGACAGAAGAATGACACTGTCTAGGCAGGCAGAAAGTGAAAAAGGAGTGATGTAAGCAGCCTTTCATTTTCTGACAATAGGTTTGTTTTCGGTCAGTACTGATGATCATTGTGCAGTTAGGGCTTTGAGGTGGCTGTGTACTGTCTGTCAGTATCTGGATTTCTAAAGTCAGGTGTTCTTCTGTCGTGCTGGCACAGGTTGGTGCACTCTGTTGAAACACATATTTGATTCTTCAGTCTGCTGATTGTCCTGCAGAGAAAAACAGTTCAAGAGTCTGGAGTTCTACCTTTCCTCTAATGAGAGAGTTGTTTTTTAGATAAGGGCAGCTTTGCAAGGCACATGCTGGGGGTGTTGAGGAGTCAGCTCTTAGTCTGATCTATCAGCAAACCATGTAATTATTTCTCAGGATTTTTACAAGCAGTTGGTTCTGGTGTTCAAAGTTAAAAGAGTTTTGTTTTTTTTCCTTGTCACATGTAAAACTGGTTTGCTTTTTTTAGGACTCTGGCGGCCATTGAACCTGTGGCATATTTTGCTGGAAATACTTACAAAGCAAGACATGCTTGTGGTTGGATCCAATCCACTTTTCCCTTAGTGGAGGGTTCATTCAGTAGAGGCATTACAATAAAACCTGATTGTTAATGCAAAGTGCTGCAGACACAATACGGTCTGAGTTCCACAGTGGTGCCTGCTGGCATTTAACATGCACAGTGCTTCTTAAAAAGCAGGGAAATTATATTTAATGTTGCTGCATCATGAAGAAAAATGACAAGCAAACAAACAAAAGAACCCAGCAAACAAAATGTGATTAGATGATTGTAATTGGTGGTTTGCGTTAGGATCTGTGTGTAGAGATTCAGCTTCTGGCCATTTTACAATCAATTTTATACCAAAACAGGTTAAACAAAGCACTGACTGACCAGCATCCTTAACACTGTGGCAGCTAAGAATTTTGGAATGCTCACATGGTGTGTTTGGAAACCCTTTGTGTGCACTACATTTTTCCGTTCAGTACAAGGCTGAGCAGTAATCAGCTCACCACTAATTAGAAGTCATTCCGTGTCCTGCACCCCATTATTATACACAAGTTGTATCAGACACAAAGAATAATCAGAGGGAAAAGTTCCTGCAATACCTTCTGTCTTCCATTTCCCAAACATAAAATCTGAAACCAAAAATCTTCCGCTGTTTTGAAACAGCCATTATGGAGGAAGCAAAAGCCATTTATTTTCCTCTCATCAAAACTGGAATATGAGGGAAATTCACTGTTCTGGGGAAGGCAGGAACAGAGATGCAGGTTTATCTTGTTATACTTTCCTTATGTTAGTGATGTTTTGATAAACAGGTTGTGTGAGCTGTGTTTTAAAGTTCAGTCCTCTGAGAAGCAAAGGTTTAACCTAACTAGAGCTCTTCACAGATGTTTTGTTTGTTTGTGGTTGCAGGTATTCACTGTGACAGTGTGTGTGCTGAGGGACAGTGGGGCCCAAATTGCTCCTTGCCTTGTTACTGCAAAAATGGAGCATCCTGCTCTCCAGATGATGGGATCTGTGAATGTGCGCCAGGATACAGAGGCACCACTTGCCAAAGAAGTAAGGACAACATAAATGCTTTAAAAATCTCTGTTTCTCCCTCAGTTGCTTGGAAAACATATCATACAATAGCCTAATGCTTTGCTAATTGTAATCTGAAAGACTAGGAAACACTCCTTGATTGGACATTTTGTCAAAATCCATGAATATTCAGAAAAAAAGGGTTACCTGAAAGGAGCAAATGTTTCCATCTGTCTTCTTGTTATGGTACCAGCTTTCCTTTTATTCACTGTCTGTCCTGTGGCACTGTAATGAACTTGATTTTCCATGACATGTTATAGGGGATTCCATTCTAAAGCATTTCCAAATGTGATTGATGAGTGTTAAGTTTGTAATTCAGGTAAACAAAACATACTTGAGTTTCAGCAACAAAAAGCCTTCCCATTCTCTGCTGGGGACTGTCAGCTTAGTTAATATTTGGGGTTTTAACACTTGTTTTGTAAGAATAGTCAGTAGGATCAGGCCCCACAGTAATGTCATATGAGGATGTCAAATGTACCCATGACTCCTTTTGAAAAACTTGTCTGGGTAAAATACAAATTTCTTAAGAAGAGATACAGACTGACTGTAAGGAAAATCATGCCATAATTAGGGAGGTAAATAATAAGTCTGCCCTCCCAAGATTTGTCACAGTTTGCCAGCAGCCCACCCGTCTTCAGTTTGAATCACTGAAGCTGTAAGGCAAAGGTGTTCAGGGAAGAGAAATGTGACTTGTGTGGAACTGGAGAGGATCCCAGTTTCCAGAACACGACTCCCAGAAACAGGATCCAGGAGCAGGTGGATTAAGGACAAGCAAAGATGCTCCTGGCTCTTCCTAAAGAGGCTTAAAAGGCAGGAGATAACCTGAAATAGTCATTGTCAGGGAGAAGGAGAACCAGAGGAAGGTGAAGTTCTGTCAGTCCAGGCATGGCAACATTTCCAGCTGCAGCCTGTGAAATGGCACTGGTAAATCTCACTTCAGTGTGGCATTAGTATTCCTTGAGCATTTCTGACTCTGAGCAGTAATTATTCTCACTATCTAATCTCTAAGGGCCCTGCAGTCAATCAGTGCATCCAGAGCGTAACACTGCCATGTTAAAATGTTCCCTGGTGTTTTGGAACTATAACCTGGAAAAGAAGCTCCCAGTCCAGAGCCCCTCTGAGGCACAGTCTGCAGGCTGGGAAGACAAAGATCATAGGAATAATTTGGATCCTGGTCAGAAGCTGCCTTTTCAGTAAACAGGAAGACCTTTTGGCACTGTTTCACTTGGAGAAGTTAATCTCTCTGGAGAGATCCTGGCCATGTAACTTGTATCAAGTGTGTAATTAAAAGACTGAATCTTGAATGAAATTGAAATATTGAAAAGATTCCAAGGCAGTTTTGTCAGTGCTAATTGCAGCTGTTCAGGTATTTCTCTTGATCTCTTACCTAATATTCTAATTTATCAGGAAATAAATGCCAAAAGGGATTAGATCAACAAAAAAGGAGAAGCAGCCTTTTTTTTTGTCTCCTTTTTTTCTTTTTCTTTTTGAGAAACTCATGCTTTTAGCATCACAATTAACAGTACAACTCTGTATTTCTGGTCTCAGGTTCTCTGAAAGTTAGAGTGACTATGTACCATGTAAAAGAAGAGTTAATTGGAAAACATCTGTACTTTTTATCCAGTGAAGTTTTGGCTGTTTGAATTCCAAGTTAGAAAACACATCAGGAATCAAGGTCTAAGATGACCTTACTCGTCTAGAGATAAATCTATTCTCTCTGTTATTCAGATGTGCTTCAAAAGATGTCCTTATTTAGCCAAATAGAAGTATGTATGCATTCCAAGCATTATCCAAGTTCAGGGTGGCTTGACACGTACTGGAATGCCAACAAAGTCGTGATGAACCAGAATACACCAAATCCTCGAGGAGAGGGAGCAGATCTTGTTTTGGGAGTGTAAACCACTGAGCTGCACAAATAACAACGAGCACCACTGGGGCTGGAAAGCAGAGCCAGTGGCCTGCAGGGGAGGCTGATGGCAGGACAGCAGCAGTTACAATTTCTCCTCTTTGGTTCCAGTCTGCTCGCCAGGGTTCTACGGCCACCGCTGCAGCCAGACCTGCCCCCAGTGCGTGCACAGCAGTGGCCCCTGCCACCACATCACTGGCCTGTGTGACTGCCTGCCTGGATTCACAGGAGCCCTCTGCAATGAAGGTACAGCTGGCCATAAAGACTCTGTGGGATGATTTCCATTCCGTCACTTGGGAGCTGTGGAACCAAAGATGGTTTCTGCTGTGGAATGTTCAGTTTATAAATCAGAAATCTGAGGTTGTTTCATCCTTCAGTGTGAAGCCCTCTGTACTCTTAATTGCATTATTTGTGTAGTGAATATGCATATTGTGCTCACTGAATTTATAATTACCTCACTTTACCCTTATACCAAGCAATACTCTTTTCAATCCAAATATCAATTGTTTTTTCCTGAACTGAAGAAAATTAAATCCTGTTCTGATCCCTAAGGAATTCTAATTTTAACAATGCCTTCTCAGTATGTCCTAGTGGCAGATTTGGGAAGAACTGCGCTGGAATATGCACCTGCACCAATAATGGGACTTGTAATCCTATTGATAGATCCTGTCAGTGCTACCCTGGATGGATTGGTAGTGACTGCTCTCAGCGTAAGTACCAGAGTTTTTTTAGAACAAATAATCAGGGTGCAGCTATATAAAATACCTTTTTTTTTTTTTTTTTTTTTTTTTTTTTTTTTTTTTGGTAAAGAAACACTGTGTTAAGTCAGAAATTAGGACTTCATGGTAAATAATGGAGAGATCCTAAACTTCTCTGGTCAGGCCAAGAACAAAGCTGAAATTTTCTCAGACATAGGTTAGTGCTCTGGCTACACAGCCATCCTTGTTCTCATTAAGTATTTGAACATTTTGTTAAGAAATTTTTCACTATGCCCTTTTTTTAGATGCTTGTAAATCTGTGATGGATTTTCCTCTTTCTTCCTTTTATAAGTGTTTCCACAGATAAACATTTTCAGTGTCACTGTACCTCACTCAATGAGTATTGTCTTCTTGTACTGAACTCACTGGACTCTTCATTACGGCCTAAAAAGGAGAAGGGAACGTCCTAATTTTACTATTTTTTCTAAAGTTACTTTATTAAATAGTCACTCCTCATATGCCTGGATAGGTCTATGAGATTTACTAATTAGAGGAAAGAATTGTTTTAAGGAAAACTCTCACAAGAAGCATATTCAATCCCATAAGGTGCTAAAATCCACACAGTCTGAAACACACACATGCCAAAATTTCAGTCAACCCACTTTTGTGACTAAAAGAAGCTGCACCATACCCTGAAATGTCAGACATTGTGCTGGGATTTCCAGGGAAGTGTATTTTTAAATAACATGGCTCATTGGTTTATATAATTTATGGTTTGACTGGCCCAGGTTAACAGGCTCTGCACAAGTGCAGGGTAACATCTGGTCAGTTTGGGAAAAGAACCCGAAAAACAACTTTCCTGGCTAAATTCTGTGAAGTGATTAGCATGCACAGCCCAGTATGACACCAAAATAAATCTTGGGCCCATTCCTGTGGCAGCCAGTGGCTACAAAGGTCCCTGTTTTTATGGTGAAATAAGTAGGTAGCTGGGAGAGTAGCAGAATAGGGGTATTTAGGAGGAGGAGGGACTTATTGCATCAATATCAAGAAAATGGTGCCAGCAATATGAATGGAAGTGTTTATTGAGGCTGTGCTCACAGACCATAACAGAGGAAGTTTATTTGCTTTGTATAAAGGCCTTTCGTTCACATGGAAAATAATGATTCCGTTAATTCCTTTCAGAACCAGCGACCTTTTTTAAACTTCTAACCTTTTGCCTGTATGTGATTTACATTTCTTCTTAGCTGACCACTAATTTCAAACACAAAACAGTAACAAAAAATAATTGCAAGGTACAACTGAAGTGAAAATAATAAAAAAACTTAGTAGTTTTTTTCAATTCATTATAATATAACTTTTAATGAACTGAAATTTGGGGAAAAGGGTGACACTTTGGAAAAGTACATCCCACTTATACATGAATCATTATGCAAATGTTTAGAGGATTCACGACTTTTATTGGTCTCAGGCACCCAGATCAGTACAAAACTATAAGGAGTTACCCTTTTTAATTTACACAGGAATAAAACCAAGGCTTCAGTGTCTGACCTCTTACTTCTCTCCTACGAAATACTGACACTGTACTACCATAAAACTATTTTCAAAGTACTAAAGAATTATTTATTTTACTATTTATTTTTAAAACACTAACTACTCCTTAAAGTACTGCTTTCTTTACTAAAGGAAAAAAACTCCTCAAGATGAGAATCCTACTCAACAGAAGGGGTCTATTCTTAGAGTACCCTCTTCACTTAGTGATATTCTACCATGAAGAAAATTATCTTTTGCTGTTTCTGAATAGTAATTAGTATTTTGGAACCACTTCACAGTTCTAGTGGCAGCACATAGCATCACATTCATCCATCATGACATTTCCAAAGCAGCCCGTAAATTCTGTCTCATAATGAGTCGACATGATTGTGCACAAAATAACCTCCATTCTGTGGATAATTACTTGGTGTTTAGAAATATTATATTGATTATTGTATAATTACTTGGTGTTTAGAAATAATTTATTGATTATTGGACCCACAGAAGCAACTGAGTTAACCAGATTAAGATACATACCTGATTATCTTCAGCACATTTAGGCAAGTACTTGAAATTTAACAGTGGAAGCAGGCTCAGCATTGGATCTGAAGCTCTAGGCTATATGGGAGTTTCCACCTTCTCTGTTTTCCTTCACTTTTTGACGTTTAAAAGCTGTATCACTTCTACTTTGCAGAGTAAAAAGTGAAGAAAAGAAACCTAGTGGCTTTCTCTGTGAGAAAGGTGCTATGAATGTCCTATTTACTGAGTACTGAGTATGCATTTTTCACCTATTTAAGATTTTTCAGCACTTTTTACCTGGAGTAAAATGATGCCTTACTGAAATAAATGAACAAATCTATGTCTGTTTGCTGAGAACAGAGCAGCCCAAAACATGAACTCGGGAGAAAAACAGCAAACACCAAACAAAGCAGTGCTCATGTGTGAATGGTAGCAGCTCTATTCATGTGCATCAAGGAACCTTTGTCATTTGAGGTTAATTAATTGCTCTGGGTTGTTGCAGCTTGCCCACCTTCACACTGGGGACCAAACTGCATCCACACGTGCAACTGCCACAATGGAGCTTTCTGCAGTGCCTATGATGGGGAGTGCAAGTGCACCCCAGGCTGGACTGGCCTTTACTGCACACAGAGTAAGTGAATTTTGTGCTCATTCTTAGTTTGAACATCAGTGACAGAATTATCCTCCAGAACAGCTTATACTGGAATTCAGACACTGATACAAAAGCTGTTTTTATTTAGAACCCTGAAGATGATTTCACTAGACTGCAACATCATAATTTCTTCTGGAATTTTCTTCAATTAATAATACATTAATATTGATTTTTTTTCCCCCCAAGAGCTTTTTGTTTAAGTAAAAAGCTGTGCAGTGACTGTGTGTAGTTATGTGGCATTCATTACGTGCTGGCAAAGGGTTCATATGAAGTTTGAGAAATGAACATTTGTTAAAAATAAATATGGGTAAAGCTGACTTCTTATCTTTTTCTTATTACACTTTCAGTTTGGTTTACCTTCAGTTCAGGTTACCTCACTGACTGTGATCCTGGCCACAACCCCTGTATTTGACCTCAAGAAAAAGAGGACTACTGTGTTTTGCATTCAGTGTTGAATATGTGTTTTTCACAAAATCAGAACTTTGCTGTTTCAAATGAATAATGTCATAGTGGCAGGAAGTAACAGATACATTACAGGACCATATGGATGCAGTTCTGGGAGACATTCACTATGCTGGTTCAGCTGTCAGCTATCAGGGGTTTTTTGCTTCCTGCTGGTGAATAATGATCTCTTTGCAGTGGTGTGTCTTCTTCATACTGAAGTGGTTTCTTTGTGAGTAGCTCAGGTACAATATGTTGTTATTTTGGCTTTTTTAATGCTTCACTACAAACCACAAAGGAAATACATCCAGCGGTTCACTGACTGATGGGCAGATTCCCAAAGTGCCCTCTTCCTTCTCCCTCCAATCTCTTTGGAAGCCCATTTCTTCAAGGAGCTGTCCCTGCTGTCTTTTCAGAATCTCTGCTGCCAGAACCACTTCCCAACCTCATTTTTGCCTGGTATGTTTTAAACCACTCCACACAAGGCAGGTCTTGGTGCCTTTCACTGACAGAACTCCGTTTCAGGAGCTGCAGGAGCAACCCCTCAGCAACATGCTGAACCAGAATGCTTGTCTTCCGCTCCCAGACCAGCTATTTCACCCCTCTCCCCTCCCTCTGCTTGTGTTGCAGGGTGTCCCCTGGGGTTTTTTGGGAAGGACTGTGCCTTGATCTGCCAGTGCCAGAACGGAGCCGACTGCGACCACATCAGCGGGCAGTGCACGTGCCGGACGGGCTTCATGGGGCGGCACTGCGAGCACAGTGAGCACTCCCCTCCCTCTGCCTTGGGACACAGCCTCTGGCCTCCAGGGCCACTTCTGATGGGCACACAGGCTTTTCCAAACAGTTTAAAACCTGACAGAATTAAGTTGTCACAATTGTGGTTTCCGTTTCTTTGCACTGCGTTTAGTCCCTTTGGGCGTTACGCTAAAGGAACACCCAATTACTCTGTCATGTAAAAGCAACAAAATTAATCCAAGGAATTGTCATTGCCATCCTGGGAAGGCAGTGAGATGTATCCATTAGTATAAGCCACAGTGACAGCTAATAGTTGGAAAACTGGAGATAAGAACTAATGCATCAGTGCTGGTGGATGAAATTAATCTTTGCAATGTGGTTTTACAGCGCCGCTGGTAAAAGCATTGTAGGCAGTTTTGTTTTCATGTTTTCACACGTGTGGTTCTCTCCTCAGGAAGATCAGGGATAACACCAATGACATCACTGGTGCTCTAATGCTGTACAACATTAAAACAATAATCAGCACAGGACTGTCCAACCTTTGCTGACTTTATGGGCCCTGCTCCCAAATTTGTGAATTCCGATGATGTCTGTGTTTCTCCTCAAAACATCACAACTGTTCAGGAAAAGATAACTTTTTAAGATAGTCTTTTGATGTCAAAACATTTCTTTGAATACTTTGGCAAATCTAACTCTGTTATGGATTTTGTATTTTATCCTACAAGTTGCTAATAATGATATAGCAGCATTAAGCTAAATGTTTTGGTATTCATTCTAATTCAGATCTTGAAATGAAAAAATATATTAGGACGTGATGGATTTTGCCCACCCATTTACATCAGTATTTATAATCTTGTTATATGACTGTAATTAAGAGAAGGAAGTTTTTCATTTGAGCTGGGATTTCTCAAGACTGCAAGACCATTCTCTGGCACCCATTGTGTTACTTTATTTTTTAAATTATTCCAAATTAAGAATGCATGAAAGATGAGCTAGATTCTTCTAAAAAGACAGAAGGAAGTAAATATAGTAGCAGAACTCTTGAGAAAATTCAGAAAAAGTGAAGAAATACTACCCTTGCTAAAACCATCAGAACTACTATAATGTGCCAGGCCACAATACCAAGAGGTGGCAGTGTAAAAGAAATAATTTTTATCAGTGTAGGGTAATTCTTTAGCAGGATACTTACATGAGGTAGGAAATACTTTGATCAATAATTAAATATTGACATAATTAAAAATTAAGTACAACTTCCCCAGTTACCTTATTCTCTATAATTTAGCATTTTTCTCCTATCGGTAGTTTCTCAGTACATACATTACAGTATCAGAGCATGCTATGGGCAGCAGTTGTATTTCTCTGTAAATGTCTGGTGCATTTCAGACTCACTGGTAGTGCCCTTTCCTTTTGCTATTTTACACCAGCACATCTGTCACACCACAGGACACCATCCAGGTGTCTGGCCTCACCTGTAAAATAATGAGGTTTTTTTAGGCTTTGAGATCTGAGTCTTCTGGCTCTTTATTCACACCTTGCCCACTTCTTCTCTGCCTTCTACCCTTTTTTATCTTTTTTTTGCCTTTTCTTTTTCCCATTGATTCCTCGCTGGCACTGCCTTAGCAGCATTGTAGGTGAAGGACGAATACACATCTGAACACAATTTTTTTCTCTCCTGCACACTGAGGGTTCCTCTTAAAAGCATTTCCAGGAGAGATCTGGTGCTGATGACACATTGGCACCTGCTGCCCACGGACAGGAATGTGGGGTTGGACTCCTGTGGTGCTGCAGACCTGTAACTCCAACACCTTTAATGAGATTTTGCTTGCTTTTGTCCCGTGCAGAGTGTCCCCAGGGCACATATGGGTATGGATGCCGCCAGATCTGTGACTGCCTGAACAACTCCACCTGTGACCACATCACAGGGACCTGCTACTGCAGCCCAGGCTGGAAAGGAGCCAGGTGTGATCAAGGTAAAGCCCAGACATAATCAAATTTAATGTCAGCTTTTCACACAGAAACTGGCTTCACCTATTAAACACCATCTCTGTGTCATTCATTGAATAAATATGACAGGTGTATTTAAGTAGCCCGTTCTGTTAATTCGTGTAAGTTCTGGAGGCTTTAAATTAGATGCCTCAGTGATAATTAACTGGAGCAAAGTAACTGGAGTGTAGATTTGCATGAAATTACAGGGCAGTGCTACTCAAAGGCGCTGATAGAGCATGGGGCTTTATCTGCCCCATTCTTTTGCCCAAAGAATGTTCTTACTTTTTCAAATTTATGAAAACATCTCTTTTCTGGGAAGATTCTGAGTGTTTTTCCTTTCTGTAAAGATTCCAAGTGTTTTTCCTTAAATTTAGGAGTGATTCCTGGCAGAGTTCTATTCTGGCCTTACTAAATACAGTTAGATTTAGAAGTGAAATTTTGTCTCCTGCTCCTGACACGTGACCCCTCTGAGTTTATGCCACTTATTTTCATTTCTTCTTCTATTCCAGCTGGGGTAATTATAGTGGGAAACCTGAACAGCCTGAGCCGTACCAGCACTGCCCTCCCTACTGACTCCTACCAGATAGGAGCCATAGCTGGAATCATCATTCTTGTGCTGGTTGTGCTCTTCCTGCTGGTGCTGTTCATCATTTACAGGCAGAAGCAGAAAGGGAAGGAGACACACATGCCCACTGTGACCTACACCCCTGCTATGAGGGTGATCAATGCAGATTACACCATTTCAGGTATGTCATGTTTCGAATATTTTTTTTCCCCCTCAATCTCTTGCTTTTGTGCTCAGATCTGCCCCTAACAGGGGGCAGAATTCACGTATTTCTGCTTTTTGATACCATGAAGGTGGCACACCCTGGCAAAATGTCTTAATTCTAACGAAAAGTGACCACATACCTCACTCTCCTGTGCAACATTTTGCACCCTCAAACTTTTTTCTGCATTAAATATTTCTGTTCTCCGTGCCTGCTTTTATATACAGTTGGAGTGTGGCAAAATCTGGTGCTTAAAAAGGACTTTAAATTCAATGCCAACAGCTTGAATAGATGAAGAGTGTAGAAAATCAGGATTTCATGCTATCTGTGGCAAGATTTTGCAGAGAAGCAGACAGCAAAAGGTTTGAAACTGACTAAGGGAAGGGGCAATGAGAGTTTTTGACCTATTAAAGTGCCTGTGAGTTGGGATTCAATGGGTACATGAAACTTGAGGCAATTGTGCCTTCTGAACACCACTGCTAAGGAAAGCAGTAGCTGAAGAAGGCAGCAGAAGGACTTGTCAGAGTTAACAAAAAGCAAATCAGCAAAGGTCCTGGTGTTCTTGAAGCACTAGAAAATGTTGGTGCAGACTTGATGGTACAAGTGACTGCAGTGATGACTAGAAAGGAAAAAAACAGAGCAAAGGACCACAGCAGAAAGAGCAGTGAAGTTAGCAGGTTACACTTGTGAATGCTCCTTGCTAAAAGCAAGGACATGACTTGTCACTTACTGCCCTATATCTCTCATTCTTGGAATGAATATAAGATATTTAGTTCTGTGTCTGTTGGGTTTTTTTTTTTTAGGAAACTCTAGGTCAGATTCAGAAATCAGTGCAGCACTCTTAAAAACGTATCTTAAGAAAGAAATTCTGTGTTGCTTTCCGTTGTTAATTTTCCTTTGTTTATCTTTTCAGAAACCATCCCTCATACCAATGGTGGAAATGTCAACAGCCACTATTTCTCTAACCCCAGTTACCATACTCTGACTCAGTGCTCCAGCCCACCTCATGTCACCAACATGGAGAGACTGACCTTGGCAAAGGTAAAGCAGGAAAACTTCTGGCAGTCTTCAGTTTATTTTACATTGTTCCCTAATGTCTCCTGTTTGTCTTATTTTTGCTCTTCCTGATTACCACCTGGAAATTCAGCATCTTCCTTGAAACTTCAGTTTTATTACCTCACTTTCTTTGAAATAGGCAAAAACCAGCCAGCTGTTTGTGAACCTGAAGAATATGGAGCCTGGAAAACGAAGTGCTGTCATGGACTACACAGGAACACTGCCAGCAGACTGGAAACACGGCGGCTACCTCAATGAGCTTGGTAAAAAAACAAGAAGGGAGGAGAATGGGAATGTTATTCACTGTGTGTGGGATGCCTTCCTTAAGTCAGGAAGAGATGAAGTGACCCCTTGTGAGGAATGGTGGAACAGTTTTTGATGCCCAGTGCAGACAAGATGTGTAAAGTATCCCATTTTTATTAAAATATTTGCTTATTGATTAGTTTTGTAGAACAGTGAGGTTTTTACAGTAAGGGTATGCTTGGGCAAAATTACAAATTCTTATTAAATAAATGAAAGGTTGCATATATTTCTTTTTTTAATCACCACAAAATGCAATCAGTGGTTTAAAAAGTACTTTTTCATTACCTGAGTCACTTCAGATGTAAACAGTAGATCTTCCCAGCTAAGCCTCCTGTTTGCTAAAAAATCATTGTCTTCATTTCTGGTACTTACATATATCAGAAATGGGATTCAGAACAACAGTATGCAGCACTGTTTGGTTTTTTTTTTCCTGCTCTTCCCCAGCCTTGGTCAAACCACAATTCAGACTCAAATCTTTTGTGTTTAGTTTGGGATTTGTTTTTTTGGTGGGTTTTTTTTGTTTTTTCAGGAAAGGATTTCAGTCATAATGCTCAACATTCAGCTTTATATTTTCTTAGAGCATTTGAACTTGCACTAAATGCTCCTGAGAGACACTTGCTGTGGTTAACCCAAAGCAGGAGATCTTGAGCAGCAGGGAGGTTCCAGAGGACTGGATGAATGCTGATATTGTGTCTGTTTGCTAGAAAATAAAATAGGATTACTTGGGTAGCTCAAGGCTGGTGACCTGAGCATTAAACTTGTGAAAACAACACAAGTGACAGGAGATCTAATAAATAAAGATGGATAGGAATAAAATTAATTATGTTTAGGTTTCCTTAAAATAATACCACTTCCCTCTTGAAAACTACTCATTTTGTCTAGATAGTACATAGATAAAATCATTTTAGGCTTTTATAATTCTCCTAGCATAATACCAAAATACAGCCTAATTAAAAAACCAGCTCTCCACAATATCAATGAAAGCTATTTGAATAGATCAGTAACCAGGAAAGTGCCAGGTCTCTGAAGACAGCTGTTGTGCTCTGCTGTTTACTTTTATTGAGAGAAATCAGTGAGTAACAGGTAATTTCAGAGTTGTAAATTCAGGTGCAAGGTGTTCAGGCCACTGGGGTTGGAACAGGGTGACCCTGATTTGGGAGTGATTAAATTTGGAAGCAGAGCATTGAGAATTGGAGCAAGCTCTGCACACCCTGAGACTTTCAGGTCAAGGTGGGATGCCTTTCTGGCAGCTAGGGTTTATCCAGAACAAAAAAAACAAAACCAAAACCAGAACAAAACAAAACAAAAATTAAAAAAACCCCCCAAAAAAAAACCCCAAAAAAAAAAACCAAAACAAAACAAGAAGCAGCACTTAGTAGCATTGTTCAAGAGTGAGTAACTGGCATTATGTGAGGTCAAACTTGATAATTCAATGGTCCCTTATGATCCACCTTCCCTGTTCCTGTTGGAAAATGTGCAAGCAAATAGTGCAAGTGCTTCTGTACCCCCATCTTGGGCAGTTCCACAGTCCTTATGAGGGAATTATTCAGCTAGGGCAGAAGTGAGTCCCAAGGCAGTTCTTAAACATTCAGAAGCTGTTGTCTAATCACTTTTGTTTTCTTTGATTTTAAAACTACTCGATTTTTTTTTTTTTTTGTATCATTTTCTCCTCAGGTGCTTTTGGACTTGATAGGGGATATGTGGGGAAGTCCCTGAAAGGTGAGGTTGTTTTCTGATATATTTAGATGAAACTACATAGATATGCCTTTTATTCTTCCAAATTACCTTTGGTTTCTAGTGAAAAGAATATAAAAAAACATTCTGGAACTAAATTTTTTCTAGACACTGAATCAGTGCATGATTGGTTTGTTTGCTGGTGTGGGTTTTTTATCTTTTTTGAATGGAAGTTTTTGGATTTTTTTGTAAACCAACAAAAACACAAACCAAGCCATTTTAAGTCACCTATGTGTCACATAGATCAAATGTTTTTTGTCATCTTGAGTCACAACACACCTCAATTCTAGACTGCAGAACACATGCTGCCTCTGCTGAAAGGCTTTAAAAGGGAATTCCAACTTCAGCTGGCATGGTCTGCGTGACCACAAACCTTCACCACATCCACTGCAGGCCCTTGGAAAGGATATCAAAATACAGAGAGACAGGAATGAAAAGTTTCTGAAATTCAGGGTAGTGATCTGGTATTTTGATCTTCTGATTTATCCAGTTTTCTCACAAGACTTTACATTGTACCACCCTGCTGTGTGTCAGTGTTTGTGTTACCTGATCAGGGCAGGCCAAGGGTGCCTGGATGTCCAAGCAATTGAAAAGGTGTAGCAAAGTCCATATGAATGATGAGTTAAACACATTGACAGCAGCTGGTTTATCCCAGATGTGAAGATTTGGCACTTAGGAACATGGTTAAGTGATGGATTTGGCAGTGTTACATAAATAGTTGGACTCAATGATCTGACAGGTCTTTTATAACCTAAACAATTCTACACTTCTGTGACTACAGAAAGCTCAGTTCAAATGAGTCACAAAATCATGAGCACCCATCCACTGACAGGTCCACCAAGGTCAGTCTCATCTTGGAGTCAGGAATGCGCTAAGGAAGTCCGATGTTAAATAACGCATTATATCACAAAACACCACAGAGAACAAAATAACACACACACACACCACAAAATTACTTCCCAGCACAAGCAATTACATCTCTGAAACCAGTTATTTGTCCTTCAGTTAAATCCTGACATCACAAGCCACCTGATGTTTCTTTGCTAATTTTCCTGCATGTGCCTTACAGAAATTTAGAAGAAAAGATGATTATTATTTTTGCGCACTCAAATACGCAAACTTTGCACCACCTAAGCCATTCCTAGAAATAAATGATGCTGCCATTTGCCCAGACATTGCCCTTGGGGAACCGTCTCAGATCAGTTCTTTTAAGTGTCCTGAGTTCAATACCTGGAGGAGCAGAAAGTGTTCTGAAGTGCTTGTTAAAAACTGATTCTACAGCTTGTAATGCTAGGCACTATTTTACAGAATTGAAAATGCTTGGATTTTGCAACAGTAATTTGCTGGTGGTAAAACGAAGTCCATTAAAGAGCACAACAGCTGAGATGCTTTCATTGATTGCTGTAAATAATTTTGAAGTGTTATGACTGGTTTCCATTTAAATATTCACTTCTGAATGCCTTTTTAGAACAAAACCCTTTTTTTAGGTAGCAGTCTTCATTGCATGCCGCATGCTCAAGACATGTTTTTCTTTTTGTAGATCTGGTGAAGAACTCGGACTACAATTTAAGTAATTGCTCACTGAGCAGCTCTGAGAACCCCTATGCCACTATCAAAGACCCACCAGCTCTGGTGCCAAAGAGTTCAGAATGTGGCTACGTGGAAATGAAGTCCCCAGCACGTCGCGACTCCCCCTATGCTGAGATCGCCGGCTCTGCCACGGCCAGCAAGAACGTCTATGAAGTTGGTAGGTACAAAATCCACCTCTGGATGCTGGGGGGTAGGAACAAAGAGCACAGGGCTTTTTGATCTTTGATTCAGTTTCATCAAAACACGTGAAAACCGCTGGAAAAACAAAATGACGTGTTCAGATTCTGTGTTCTGCTCAAAAGTTGTAACAACAGTTTTTACTCTTTTGGTGTAATTCACACAACAGGGTTTGAAGTACCTTCAGCTCTGTTCTGTCACCTACAGGTACCTCTGAACTGCCCTGGTGTGAAAGCCTGCCTTTAACCAATAGTGTAATATAAGTTTAGCATTTGATTGCAATGTAGTTCAGCTCTAGGTTAGGCTGAATGCAGCTGGAGTTACACGTGGGAGGGTTGAAGTTCTGTTTCCTTCTCTTGATCAGAATAAAATAGCATCTTCACCCACAGACATAGTATTCCACTAATATGGGCCCTACCTAGTTACAGTTTCTTTAGTTACAGAAAACTTTGGGGTCCTGTGGAGTGGTAATAAATTGTCTCCAGTGACACAGGATATATCTTCCTTTTCTGCATGCAATTAGAGATCACTGAAATCCATCAACATAACCATTCTGCTTTTAAGGACTGTTACAAAGTCTTGATAAAAACCCTCAAATTCAGGTTGTTGTTTGGTTTGGTTTTTAAATTTGCTGAAATTAAAGACACATAAAGAAGAGATGTTGTCTTGCTTCTGTCAGTAAAGACACTCAAGGCAGGGCCCTGCTGCAAGTGTAAAGAAAAAACACCAACCTGTGTGCTGCATTTCAGGACTCAGCACGATGAGGAATCTTCCTACTGCAGCAGAAACTGAAATGAAGTTTCAGTGTTTTCCCTGAAGCTGAGTGAATGCTCTCTCTCCTCACAGAGCCCACGGTGAGCGTTGTCCAGGGCGCATTCAGCAGTGGTGGCGGGCGCCTCGGCCAGGATCCCTACGACCTCCCAAAAAACAGCCACATTCCGTGCCACTATGACCTGCTTCCCGTCAGAGAGAGCCCCACGCCCTCCACAGAGGGGGTCAGCAGCAAATGACCCTGCAAGGAGCTGATGCCTACAACCCTGGGACTCTCAAGGGGCAGAGTGGCACAGTCGTGCTCCTTCCTCTCTGGTTTACCATCTCTCTTGGCTCCTGATCTGTCCTGCAGATAAATGCTGTACCTTAAGCAGAATCTCAGCACGAGGTCTGTATTGCATATACAAGTGACAGATGGACAAATGCCACACTCTGGGGATCCTGATTCTTCTTTTTTTTTTTTTCTCATGGCAGTAAATTTTATAGAAACAGGTATGCAACACATTTATACTGTAATATACTGGCTTAAAAAATAGTAGTTTGCAGATTAGTCTTGATAACATCACATTTTAGCGACTTCAAATATAGGCTTCATGTCTGTCATGTTCCAGAGTAGAAATACTCCCAGGACAGTGCAATTTACCAAATACCACTTTGTACAGGTGATCTGATTCACCAGTTACTCACTAGTAGAAGGAAAACTGCCTTGCCAAATTTTACCTTCCATTCTTACCTTAAGTCAAGACATATTACAAGAAACAAGATCTGATGGGGATAAGGAAGCACAATGTTGCAGTTGTTTGGGAAATCCACCATCAGGCTTTTCTGTCCATTACAGGTGGTGGATGTACTTGGCTCGAATAGTTCTGGAGATAAAATAATTGCATACATCAATATTTACATGATGCTTCAAGATCTCCTAGTACTGTAGACCCAGCACCAGTCTTCAACAAGTATTTTGCTACAGTTCAGCTTCACATGTTGCAATTCTGACCACTATTTCTGCCACACACAAATAATCCACAACATATCAGTTATTACTTCAAAAAAGATGTAAACTGAATCAGTTTTTTTTTGTCACCATGGACTGATTATGTAAGGAGTGGACAAAGGTGATGACTTCTGTAAATCTTAACTGCAAGGAAGGGTTTACATTTTATAAAAAGGTAGTAATAATGACTGTAATATAGGATAAAGATAGTCAAGTGTTCTTTTTTTTCTTTGAAATAACTAAGTGAACTCTGTGCATACTTGCTAAAAAGGCACCTTTTCTTTTTTTATAGTTGATATAGGGAAAACACATGCTTAAGCTGGTCTTTTGCATTGCTAATAATGTGACACATGTACCCCCCCCACCTTCATTAACTTCTCTCTCCATTTTTATGCTGTGTGTCTGTGTTTTTAGTGAACTAGCTTGTAACTGAAAAAATACTCTAGTGTGTGTGTGTCCATTTCTTTTGCATTTTTGCCAACTGGCCTTTTGTTTGTCCAGTTCAAGGGACCTCTGGGCAGAGCAAGAGGATCAAAGTAAGAATCCACAGTGATGTCTATTAGAGGTGATTAAAAAATACGTAACAGTTCAGATTGATTCATTAATTCAGGGGAAGAAAATCAAGGTGTTTTTTTGTTGAGAATGACAACAAGAACGCAGAAGAAAAGTAAAATACAGTTCCTACTTAAAGTTTAGCTTATGCTGCTGACCATGTAGATGGAGACTATCTTTCCAAAACAGCCCCTTTTTCCAAAAGAGGCTTTCAGTCTTCCAAAATAGTCTATTACGAGCTGCACGATTCAGTGGAAATTAAACTCACCAAGGGATGCATCAGTTTGACAGAATTTTCCCCAAACACGTCAGCTTGAAGATAACACTGTTGCTGTAGACTAGGCACCCTCTTTCAGTGAAAAGATACTTGTAGGAAGCTAAGGTGAGGTGCCAGCATTTAACGTGACCTGGCAGTGCTTCTGAAGCACTTGTCCTGAGGGCTGGTGTGTCACTGACTAATGGGGAGAAGGATCCTGGCTATTTTATAGCTCCCTGGGCATTTCTGCTACATCCCTGAAGTAAAGAATTCCATTACCTTTGGATTTGGAAAGTACAGATATTAGCTAGGAGATTTCTAAGGCTGCTTGCCATTTAATCCCTGTCTAAGATGAAGTATTGATTGGGTTTATATGCATCTAGATAAAATGTAGAGCTACTGGTATATACATTTTTTTTTGTATTGTGTGAACCAGACTTTAAAATAAAACTTTTCTTCTCTAAAGCCATGAAGAGAAAATGCTGCATTTAACAACTGGGAGTTGACTAAAACTTGTTGCTGTTTTTGAAGACCACTAGGTAAAATTATCTTCATCATATAAACAATTCTTTTTATAAGGAAAAGTGAAGAGCTAAATAAATGTTGTGAGGTTTTTTAAATTTCCAGCATGTCGCATATCGTCAAGTGAAATATTCAGTCAAATATTCATGAAAATAGATAAGTTTACTGTCATTTTACTTATTGTGTGTGTTCTAAATGTACACATGACTGAGGTCTGCCTTCCTGCGTGTGGGTGAAACTCCTGCTGTGTAGTCAGCAGCAGCAATGCCTGCATAAATCTGAGCTGGATCTGCAGTATAAGCAGGGCAAGCAAACGGCCTGTGAGTTTACTTCAGAGAATGATTCCTGGTGAGGTGGTCAGAACACTGATTTCCTGGAGTGCACTCTGCTCTCGGCTTCAGAGATCCCCAGCACCATCCTCGTGACTGCCAGACAGCTCTGGGTGTAGATCCCACTGTGGTCTTCACACAATTCAAATACTTCTGAAGGTGCATTCTCTAGGGTGGAGGAGACTGAAGGGGTCAGGTGATGGAGCGATTTTAGCAAACACTCAGAGAACTGGCTTCACTTCACTACAGACAGGAATGGAAAGGGATGCCTTGCCTCTATATATTCACATTACAATAGTGACAAAATACAGCGTCGAAAATGGAGGTAGCTCTCCCCTAGCAATGTGTCACCATTTTAATAAAAGGCTGCACCGAGTTAATACCTGACTTTAAAGTAGTGACTATAAACTTTAGGCTTTAAATATTATAGGCATTATTAATTCAGGGCACTTAGAAGCATAACGAAACCCTTAGCTTTCTGCTATGTCCAAGATTTTAATCACAACACACTGTTACACATAAAATCTGTGCTTATCTTGATCTACTGAGGGAATTTCCATTAACTTTAATTGGAGATGCACATGCAGATTACAGGAAGGAAAATTTATTGTGCTCACACTTTCTGCTGAGACAATCTGCAAGTTCATACTGAAGTAAAGTTAGGGTGAAATCATAAGCAAGGACTGTGTTACACTAAATATATTGGATTTTCAAGTACACTAACAACAATTTTTTATCCAGTATGTGTCCAATTAGTAAATCTTACACCGAAGCTCTAAAGTCCAGACAGAAGATCAGAGCTAGTTTTGACAAAAAATGCTTTATATTAAAGATTGTATATACAGTATCTGAAATTATTGAAAACAAATGAGTGTATGTTTATTAATTACTGCAGAGAAAACCTTGTCATTTGATACACTCATCCTAGTGCTATAGCACTGAATATAACTTTTCAGTATTTTAGCCCACAAGATTTCACTTTGATACGATCGAACTGTATTATATTTTTAAAGAAAACCTATCAAGTGTGCCTGGTTTTTTTTTTTTTTTTTTTCTTAGTTGCAAGAAAAAAAAGTGTTTTGTTGTGAAAACATAAATATATTTTCCAAAGATGACTGATGTTCATCATTCTCCCTTTCACTACCATGTATTTCACTTCACATCCCTGTAGGTTAATACAATAAAGTTTCTAATGAAAGATGAGAAGTGCTTTGATTTTTTTTTTTTACTCTGTTTTTCATTTGCCTACAGGAGATCTTGAAATAGCACAGGAGATGTATGAAATATCATTTTTGCTCTCATGGTTTAATCCAAGCTGGTAACTGAGTACAATCTGGGTAGTTGCTCCTCTGGGGAGGAGTAGAGGAAACAAAACTCTGTGGGTTGAAAAAAGAACAGTTTAACAAATGGAAGAAAATCAAGTAAATTACTAGTATTGATTGTAATACTAATACAGAAAAATCCATCATAGGCAGCTGTTTCAGGGTTAAAAAGCTACAATCCAGTATTGTAAAGGTACAGTTCTACTTTCCAGGTTTTTCTGTGCAAATCAGAGAAATTCCTTCAGTATTCCTTCAATGCTGTTGAAAAGAGGGGTTTAATCCTAAGTAATTGACTTACATTCAAACGGCCATCTTATTAATAAAAAAGTAACAAAGAGAGATCCTCATTACCTACATAGGGTAAATGATCATTTGTGGGAGGGGACTTGGGAGATAGTCCCCCTGAGATTCCGTGGGAGGTTACCAACGTCTAACTTCCCGCCTCCCCTGATTGTCAATCTTTGGTTGTGCCTTCCCCTCATCCCTGTCAATCATTATGTAAACTATTCCCCAGTTCTACAAATTTCTTTGTTCTTTGTAACCCCGTGGGCTGCAGACAACCCGTTCCCGTCCAACACCACAGCTTCGGGGAAGCTTCGGCCTGAACGGGAACTGCAGCGCTTCCTCTCCCACTCAGAGGTCTTTTCCTTTCGACAGTGGTCCTAAGTGGGTGAGTTTTCTGGCTTGGCACCCGACCCTGTCCCTTCTATCTTATTTTCTTCCTTTGCCTCTCTGGGGATTTTTAGTAGCAGTGAGAATGGGCAATCACCTTTCTCCTGCCCGGCGGGATTTTTATGTCCATGTTAAGTCTACCCTTGTTTGGGGAATGTTTCTTTTAAGAAAAGGAAATTAAAGGCTTTTGTTAATCTCATTTTTGATCATTTTCCCGATACTTCAGGGGATGATTTTTCTTCTGTTCTGTTTTGGGGAAAGGTTGGGAGGTTGTTATATGATTTACAAGTTAATGTGAACTTTAGGGTTGGACTTTTTTTCCTCTTTTTCATTTGATTTTTACTTTATTTAAACAAAAGGGGGAGAGTTGGGTCCCAGGTTCTCCTACCCCTCGTTCCGTCCCCCCCATTCCTAACCCTGTTTCCCCTAAGGGCACGTCAATGGTGTCATTGTCGGGACCCGCCCCTCCAGTCCCCATGGCCACACCCCTGGTGTTATGAACAAGTTCATTAGTTAAGTGTTATGAACAAGTTAAAGGAATTTAAAGTTAAATGTGTTAATTAAGATTGTTATTACCTGTTAAATCCCCGTTGATCTCCCTTATATCTCCCTATGTTGTACCCCTTCACTGTACTTGTTATCCATGTTGTGACCACCGGGTAACACCTCCGCTGCTCCCCAAAATGGCGACCGGAGCACCCCCAAGAATATGCAAATTAAGGACTGTGACCAGAAACTCAGAAAAACCCCTAAAGAAAACAAGCCAATTTAAGACCTGAACAACAAACGGACTTTGGCCATCAGGAAGAAGTCCCTCTGCCTTACCAGCACTGCAGAATCAACTCCGGAGCGTCGTCCTAACCTAAGTGGAGCCAACCGAGAGCAAAAACCCTAGTCAACGAGCCCAAAAGCGTCTTCCCAGGCACGCCCGCGAGGACGGAAGCCCCAGTTCTGCTGCACAGCAAAACTGACTACCTCCTCCTCTGCGTCGCCGAAGGGAGCAGCGGCGGTGTGCGCGACCCCTCGAGCCCCCACCCAGAGCTGGTCACTCTAATAAAGGCGTTAAAAAGGAGGTCATCTCCTTGCCCATTCATGACAGCTTGGTGCATTGGCCGGGAAAGCCACACCTGAAGAGGACGCCAGGATTGGGATGGCTGCCCACCCTGGACCTCCAGGATCGCTGGCTATCCGGACGGAGGAGAGGACCAGCCCGGGCACGACGACGCAGAGGAGCGCTGGAGGGTGAGAATCCCGGTGGCGGGCGAAGGAGGCGTGGGAGTGGTGTGTGAGTGAGACGAGGGCTGGCAGCCCGGACTCTCGAGGCGAGAGGGACCCCTAGTACCGCGGTTTCGGACTCCCGCGAGGGGGCCGGCCGGGAACGGGGGGAAGCGAAAGAGACTGGTGAGAAAGAGGCGTCTCCTGGGGTTAATAAGGGCCCCCCCGGGCGTGCAGGGGATAGCCAGGTGTGAGTGGCACGCAGCAGGGCTAGGTCTCCCTAGCGGTCTGGGTGGGTCCGGGCGTGGGGAATACCCAGACGGTGTGTGAGTCCCACGCATTCACTGGGTGCCCCCAGGCACTGCCGGCACCGAGCGCTCACGAGGGCCCTTGCTTCCCAGGGCCGGGACAGACGTGCCGTAGGTGGTGCGCTGCCGCGGTCTCAGGGAGGGGACCGTAAACCCACAGCCGAGAGCACCGGGGTGGGGAGTCGGAAGGGCAAGGCCAGGCACCACACATTCCGCACACATCCCTTTCGCCAAGGCTATTCCGCTGGGGAGGGGAAGCCAAGCCGGACCGGTGGACGGCAAAGGGGTCGGGCCCCGCTTGGGTTGATCTCAGTGTTTTTGGGGGGAAAGGATACCCCCGGGTAACCCTACGGAGTCTCCTGGACCCTTCCTACCTCCGTTCAAAAAATTTAGGAAGGAACGGTATTAGAACAGGGCAGTTTAGCCCGGGGCAGCGGACTAAAGGCGTCCGGCCTGGCGGGAGGCTAGACTAGGGGAGGTCCTGGTGCCGGCAGAGAGGCTTCTAATACCGTGTACCCTGGTTGGTGTCGAAAAGTGTGCTCAGGAGTCTCTAGGGTAGAGGCGAGGCACGGGGGTACAATTAGGGGGTCGAATCACTAGGATAGGCCCTGGTGTCGGGCTGTCTTAGGGGAGGCCTAGGAAGTCGATACCAAAAGTGTGAGTGTGGAGATCTGCCCGGGTGGAGAAAGTGTGTGTGGATCCCGTTTTTTTTATTCCCTGGAGTGAAAGGGAGGTGCGAAAGAGGTCTGTGAGGGATTAAGTTGCACTGAGGGGGGAAAAGGCTTACGTTGAAGTTAATCAGTTTTAGTTCAGAAAGTGTTTGTTTGGTTGTAGATTTGTGTTGCCCATCTGTAACTTTCCTTTCGGGTAGGGGCACCTTTGAGGGGATTTAAGTTGTTGATTTGAAATGGGACAGTGTGCGAGCAGGAGAGGAAGCCCCTTGTGGGGAAAAAGAAGATAAAAAGCCTTCCCATAGAGAGTCCACTAGGACAGTTATTGAGTAATTGGGAGTCTCAGGAAGCCACCAAATCCCTAGACCAAGTAAAAATGATTTATTTTTGCACAGAGATTTGGCCAAAGTTAAAATTACAGGGCAGGTGGCCGTGGTATGGAACAAATGATCCATGGATTTGTTCCCAATTACATCATTATTTAAAAACACAAGAGACTCCCGACATCGAGCAGATAGAATATGCTGCTTGTTGGTTGAAAGCTATGAGTAAAGAGAGTGTGAAGATCCATAAACTAAAAAGGAAAGAGGAAGATAAGGAGGAACATGGGGACACGCAAACCACTCCTAAGACCTGGGATCCCCTTGATCATTTGCCACCTCCTCCTCCTCCAATATACCCAGCCCTGAATCCTAACCCTCTACAGGCTCCCCCAGCAATAATCCCACTACCACCCCCTCCTAATATTTATATACAAGACCCAAACCAGTCCCGATTTCCCCAGCCCCTATCTCGACTCCTTCCACAACACCCCTCTCCGCCCCAATACCTTTGTCTAATTTTCCAGCATACAATTCGGCTTCTAATTTGGCTTCTCCCCCAAACAATCTCTCTCCGCCAACCATATCTCAGATTCCACCTACTCCTGGTGTTTCTAACCCTAAACCAGAACCTCCCCCTATCCCTGTAGTAACTTTTCCAACTTCCCCTAGCTCGGCAACACCCCAAAATTTAGCCTTACACCCCAGTCCCACGAATTTACACTCTTCTCCCTCACCTGCGTCCATCCCTTTACCACCTTCTAATTGGGACCTGAGTTCATCGTCCCCTCCTGTTAGTGACCACCATGACCCTACAGTCCAGGCATCCCCCCAAACTGATAACAGTATGAAAGGCCCTTGGTGCAATACTCGGTCAAGAACCACAAAACTGGAAAAAATGATGCCACTCAGGGAGGTTCCAATGGGTGGAATGATGGGAGGGGTAGGATTTGTAAACGCTCCACTTACTGCCTCGGAAGTCAGGAATTTTAAGAAAGAGTTGGGGAGCTTGGTGGAGGATCCAGTAGGGATCTCAAACCAGGTGGACCAGTTTCTTGGACCTAACATCTACACCTGGGGGGAGTTTAATTCCATACTGAATATTTTATTCTGCCCTGAAGAAGTGAGGATGATTCGGGCAGCAGGAATACGAATTTGGGAGAGGGAGAATAGGATGGGGCCCCCTGGAGATTTAAAAATGCCCTTGGTAGACCCGGGGTGGGCCCCCAATAGGGAAGAAGGCAGCAGAAATATGAGGGGTTATAGGTCCTTAATAATCAAAGGTATAAAGGAGTCGGTTCCCTGAAGCAGTAACACCAAATTAGCTTTCGAGGGGACCCAGGAAAAAGATGAGACCCCTGCAAATTGGCTGAATAGATTGAGAAGGAATTTTCAGCTATATTCCAACATAGATTCTGATAGCCCAGAAGGACAAGTGCTTTTAAAAGTGCAGTTTGTGACAAAGTCTTGGCCATATATAAGGAGAAAATTAACATGGGAGGTTCACAGACATGGAAAAGTAAAATATGGACCCCAGAGGAAATTATTCAAACCTATGGGCCAGCTACATGGGTTCAGGATGGGTCCTGGGGATACCGTACCCCCATTTATATGCTTAATAGGATAATCAGACTCCAAGCAGTACTAGAAACTGTATCAAATCGAACAGCATTGGCATTTGAACATGTAGGTGACCAATTATCACAAACAAGGGCAGTAATCTATCAAATCAGATTGGCAGTAGTCTATTTATTGGCAGATGAGGGAGGTATATGTGGAAAGTTTAATTCATCAGAGCGCTGCTTGGAGATTGATGACAAAACTGCAGTAATTAAAAATATATCAAAAGAAATTCGTAAATTGACCTATGTTGGAACTCAAGAGTGGACACCTTTAATAAGTGACAACTGGTGGGACGAATTCTGGTCTTTCAAGGGAACATGGTGGAAAAAGGCTGCATTTATTACAATCTGTGCAATATCAGGATTATTACTTTTACCCTGTATAATCCCCTGTTTAATCCGGGCTGTGACTTCAACTGTTGGGGCAGGTATGCAACTTTCTGAAGGGTCTACCCAGAAACCAACTAAAATGATGTTGATGAAAAATCAGGGGCAGAACCATGAGAATGCCAGAGAAATTTATAATAAATTTCAGAGACTCAGAAAAGTTTATTTTCAGGAGCCAGAAACAGCAAATTGATGCGGGCATAAGCCCGATCAAAGAAATAGAGGGGGGAGTTGTTATGAATAAGTTCATTAGTTAAGTGTTATGAACAAGTTAAAGGAATTTAAAGTTAAATGTGTTAATTAAGATTGTTATTACCTGTTAAATCCCCGTTGATGTCTCCCTTATATCTCCCTATGTTGTGCCCCTTCACTGTACTTGTTATCCATGTTGCGACCACCGGGTAACACCTCCGCTGCTCCCCAAAATGGCGACCGGAGCACCCCCAAGAATATGCAAATTAAGGACTGTGACCAGAAACTCAGAAAAACCCCTAAAGAAAACAAGCCAACTTAAGACCTGAACAACAAACGGACATTGGCCATCGGGAAGAAGTCCCTCTGCCTTACCAGCGCTGCAGAATCAACTCCGGAGCGTCGTCCTAACCTAAGTGGAGCCAACCGAGAGCAAAAACCCTAGTCAACGAGCCCAAAAGCGTCTTCGCAGGCACGCCCGTGAGGACGGAAGCCCCAGTTCTGCTGCACAGCAAAACTGACTACCTCCTCCTCTGCCTCGCCGAAGGGAGCAGCGGCGGTGTGCGCGACCCCTCGGGCCCCCACCCAGAGCTGGTCTGTGGTGGTGCGTTATTTTATGTCTTACTGGCGTTACGGTTGTACGGGTCAGTTTTCCTGTTTTTGTTCAATTTTATAGTTAGTATGTTCTATGTACCCCCCTCTCCCTTTTCCCTATTGGTATGGCCCCAACCCTTCCCGCCTTTCCCCTTGTCCGTCACCAGACCACTCCCAGTCACCCCACCAAACCACTCCCTCGTCTCCACCCAGGAGCCCTGCCAATCACCCAGCGCCCCGCCCCGAGATCCAGAAACTTCCATCCAGGGCGTCGAGTGATTGGTGAAGGCCCAGGGCCCCTCCCGTTCTATTGTTCCATTGGCCCCTTACCTCGGACCCCTCCCCAGGGAGCCACCCACACCTTTTCCCTATTGGTCCCAGTTCTCTCCGCCCCCACTCTATATAATCCTGTGTCAGGTAGTTTCTCTTCGCCTTCCTTGGTTGGCACTCAAGCGTTAGTTGGATCCTAGTTCGTTTCTTCCTCACCCTGAGGGAAATAAAAGGATCGTTCTGCCCCCAAAGAAGGACGCTTCTAGAGTCATCTCTTTCCGCGTGTGGGTCTCGCTTTCCATCGCCCTCGGAGCCAAAGATCCATCCCGAGCTCTCCAAAGCCTCCCCTTGGAGTAGCCCAGCGGAGGGCTCGGGGAACCTGCTCGCTCCCTCCGGAGCTAGAGCTGAGCCGGGATCGACCACCTTTCTGGAGGGAACGCGGCAGCGGTGGCGCCCAATGTGGGGCCCCAGGGCGACAGCGGACCCCGCGGACGGAGCTCCTTCGACGCTCCCTGGCCGTCATCGCACCCTGGTGGTAGCAGACCCTCGTTCTAGAGGGTTGCGCTCCCAGGGATTGGATCGGCAGCGTCCTCAGCACCTGGGACGTCGATCCACCACATGCGCCTGACCAGTGGCTTTTTCGTTTTCTCCCCGACGGTCCGGACCTCCAGCCTGTAAGTTGCGGGGGTCCCCCATCCCATCCCCACTACTCTCCCTTTCCAGTTTGGTTTCCTCCCCCTTGTGCTCCCTCTTTTCTTCCTAAAAACAAACGGGCAGTTAACCGGGGGCCACCCGCCTCCTTAGGAAAAAGGGAGGGAGGCAGTCAGCCAGGCCGTGCAGTCCTGGGACGACCTCTGTGGAGGGAGGGACACTGGACTGATTCCCCCCGTCCCGGGTTTTGAGGGGGGGGAGGTAGTGGTGAGTTGGGCGCCGGGAGGGATCTTCTTGGTTCCTTTGTTAGTTTTCCACTGGTCAGGGTCTGGCACAAACCAACATCGACAGTATGGGTGCAAAACTGTCTGTGCCAGACCGGAAGCTTTATCTCCAAGTTGTGGGACTCCTTGAGGGTGGGAATGTTAAATATAAAAAATCTGAAGTTAAAAAATTTGTCCGTTGGTTGTCGCTCACCTTCCAGGAAATTTCAGCAGAAAAACTTTATCAAGTCCCCTTTTGGGACCAGGTCGGGAGGGAGATTCTCCGACAGGGGGATCCTTCCCTCTCCCCTTTTACTCATTTGACGTTACAAATTCGGCTCTTAGTTAAAAATAAATTTGAAGGTTTGCCACAACCAGACAGAGACAAATTAAAACCCAGTTCTACCCCGGGACCTCTTTCCTCCCCTTCTACCCCAGCTCTGAGCACTTCCAGCGCTCGAGCTCCCTTGCAGGGCAGCGCAAATGGCGCCAGCGCTACTCTGCCCTGTCCCCAGACCCCTGTTTCCCAGCAAGATACAGCCCCGTCCCTTAGAAAATCAGTTAGTTTTAAAAATTCCCCTGAGTCACCTTCTCCCTCAGACCCTCAAAATGGCCATCCTGCTTCCCCTCAGATTCTCCCTTTAGATCCTCAAAATGGCTGCCAATCCTTTTCCCGCCAAACCCCACAAGATGGTGGAGACCGCATGGAGTTTCCCGCCACTTGTGCTCCTTCTTCCCAGAAATCCCTGCCTTTCCCCGCCCCTCCAACCCCTTCCACTCGGCAGCCAACTCCTTCCGCTCCTCCGACTCCTCCTTTTCCCCACCCACCATTGTTTCTCCGCCCCCTGACGTTACTTCTCCACCCCCCTACTCTGCCCAGGGAAGGGCCCGACCATCGGCCCCTCCTCCCAGTCCAGGCCACGCCCCTCCCATGACACCTTCCGGTTCCCAGGGCTCTTCTTCCGGTTCCCACGGTTTGGGTTCCGGGGGGGGGGAGCGTGGGAACTGCGGCCTGCCCCATTCCCTGCCTACCTTCTCCGCCGCCCCAGTCACCTTCACCACGCGGCGGGGGGGTAGGCTCCTGGCACAGTGGTCCCCGATCCCCCAACAAACCATCCGGGAGCTCTGCAAGGCCCAAAAAGAATTCGGCCGCGATAGCGAATATTTTAGAGGTTTATTACGGGCCACTCTCGACTCAAATGAGTATGTTCCCTCCGACATGCGGATCCTCTTTTCCTGCCTTATCACTCCGGCAGAGTTTATGGCATGGGAGTCCGCATGGAGGAGGGAAGTCAGGGATGCTTTGCCCGATCTTTGGGCCATTGCAGAGGCCTCCTTGGATGCGGATGGGGGGATCATTTCGATCGACCACTTGTGCGGGTTTGGGGAATGGGATTCAGCGGCCAAGCAGGCCGACAAAATCCCGCGGGAGGCGCTGGCCATCAGTGCGAAGGCTGCGAAGCAGGCCTTTTTCAAGCTAAGGCCTGCAGGAATGGTCACTAATTATCTATCTATTAAACAAGATCCGCAGGAGGCCTTCGTAACATTCATCAATAGACTTTGCAGGGCCATAGAAGTGCAGGTTCCAGATAGCAGCCTCAGGCAGGGAATCCTGACTGAGGTGGCTAAGCAAAATGCCAACTCTGCATGCAAAGCCGCCATCCTCAGCCTACCCCTAGATCCGGAGCCGACCATTCAGGACATGTTAGAAGTGTGTGCGAGGAAGGTGACCATCGTCCCACCCGAGCAGCGAGAGACCCCTCGCCCGTCACCTAAGAGAGTCTCTTTCGCTGAGGTCGCCACTCCGCCACCTTCAATACCGTCTACGCCAGCAGAGACACGTCGGCCGGCTCCCAGGGGGAACACCAACGATCAGGCCTGTCACCTGTGTAAAAAACTGGGACACTGGATGCCCCAATGCCCTCTGCGGGAACAATTTTATGAATTCAGACGGCAGCAAGAGGGGAGGGGGAACCCCCTAACTAAAGGGGCTTCAAAAAACTAAGATCCGAGCGCAGCTTCCCCCTGCGCTCCGACAAAAATAGGGTGGGGAGGAAAACATCTTCTGCAGGGGAGGAGAAAGGCAATACCATCAGCCCGGAATGCAGCCCACCACCTGACACTCCTACCGGACATGACTATAAGCGACCTGCGAAGCCTTGGCATGTTGAGCCTCAATATTTTAAGGAGGATGTGGATACCATCCCAAGGGAATGGCTTGGCCGGAGTCCCGACCAGCCACGCCCTGTCCTTAACACCCATTGTAATTTCCCTCCTTACAGGCTCGCACTGACCGAATCAATCCACCTTGCAGACAGCGATTGGCGATTTGTGACGATTGACACGAGTCACCTGGGACCTGGAGGAAACTCCGATGTAAGTACATCGTCCTGGGGGACACAAAATTCACACCATTCAACATCCACATCGCGCCTTGCACGACATCCACCAACCCGGAGAAATTATTACTATGGCTTTACTGCGCTGAGCCGCCCATGTTCCTTCCCAAAGGCCAAGTCATCGCCCAGGCGATCCCTGTCACCGGATCACCTGTCTTCCCAGAACACCTGTGGAAGAAGAGTGCAGCCCAAGCCCATAAGGTTTGTGCTGCACACATTATGGGAAACGACAAGCCCCGGATGGGCTGCAACATCTGGCATAGTGATCAGCACAGATGGCTAAATGGTCTGTTAGACACTGGGGCCGATGTCACGGTCATTCCCTCTAAGGATTGGCCGTCGCGTTGGGAATTACAAGACGTGGCTGGACAAATTCAAGGTGTTGGAGGGTCTCAATTGGCGAAACAATCTAAAAACATCGTTCAATTTGTGGGGCCGGACGGGCAATCGGCTTACATACGCCCGTTCGTATTAGATTATACGGAACCCCTGTGGGGTAGAGATCTGATGGCCCAATGGGGGGCAAAATTGGAAATACCGACCCCCCAGGTTTTTTGGTTAGCGGTCACTGAGGAGCGTCCCACCAAAAAACTTAATTGGCTCTCAGATACTCCAGTTTGGGTGGAGCAGTGGCCGCTCAATAAGCAAAAATTAAAAGCGCTCTAGGAACTCGTGGATGAGCAGTTAGCCAAAGGGAACATCCAGGAAACAACATCTCCCTGGAATTCCCCTGTCTTTGTCCTCAAGAAACCGGGACGAGACGAATGGCGGCTCCTCCACGACCTCCGCGCCATTAATAATGTCATAGAACCTATGGGGTCTCTACAGCCAGGGATGCCGTCCCCTACGATGTTGCCTGAAAATTGGAATCTGGCCGTTATCGATGTTAAAAATTGCTTCTTCCAAATTCCTCTACACCCTGATGATGCCCCACGTTTTGCCTTCTCTGTTCCTACCATCAACAGAGAAGCCCCAATGAAGCGCTACCATTGGCGGGTACTTCCCCAAGGCATGAAAAACTCGCCTACTATCTGTCAATGGTATGTGTCTTTAGTGTTAGACCCAATCCGAAAAGCCGTGCGAGACGCGATCATATTGCACTATATGGATGATATACTTATTTGTGCCCCTACCGACGATCTACTTGCCCACGCGCTTCGCCTGACAACGGACTTGTTGGTTGATGCAGGGTTCGAGCTGCAAAATGATAAAATTCAGAAGATGCCACCCTGGAAATACCTTGGGTTAGAAATCAGAAAGCGGACCATTGTCCCGCAAAAATTGGAAATTAAAAAGAAAATTCGAACTCTTGCTGATGTCCAACAATTGTGTGGGTCCTTAAATTGGGTGAGACCCTGGTCAGGTATTCCCACCGACGACCTAGCCCCTCTTTTCAATTTATTGAAAGGGGGGGAAGAGCCCTGTTCTCCCAGGGAACTCACCCCAGAGGCCCAAGCTGCTCTAGAGAAGGTCCAGGAGTTGATGTCTGCCAGGCAGACCCATCGTTACATCCCAGACCTGCCATTCAAATTCATCATTTTAGGAAGACTGCCACACCTCCACGGACTCATTTTCCAATGGAGAGAGACACCAAAAGGGGACAAGGACCAGGGGCGAAGGGACCCTCTCTCTATTATAGAGTGGGTCTTCCTGAGCCACAACAGGTCCAAAAGAATGACAAGGCCACAAGAGTTGGTGGCGGAGCTCATCCGCAAGGCTCGCGCGCGGATTCGGGAGCTGGCGGGTGTGGACTTTGAGTGCATTCATTTACCTATTAAACTAAATTCGGGCCAATTTACAAAGGCAATGCTAGAACACCTACTTCAAGAAAACGAAGCTTTACAATTTGCTCTAGACAGTTATACCGGTCAAATTTCCGTTTTGAGACCGGCCCACAAAATTTTCGATTCCAATATTCAATTCACACTAACAACAAAA